CTATAGGATCACACGATGGAACTATTGACTCTAAGTGGAGCCATTTACGAGATGCTGTGGACGATTCAGCCATGTCCGCCTACGGTAAAATGGAGAATAAAAATAATGACTGGTACGAGGCGCATTGGAATGTGATGGAACCCGTAATCGAGAGGAAGAGAAGAGCCCTACTTGCCTATAGGGAAGTACCTTGTGCTAGTACACTGCAGGCTCTCCGAACCGCAAAAAAATTATCACAGCAGACGGCCCGCCACTGTGCCAACACTTACTGGCTAGACCTTTGTAATTTCATACAAACGGCTTCAGACATCGGAGATGCAAGGAGCATGTACGAGGGCATCAAGAGGGCATTTGGTCCACACACGTCAAAAATAGCCCCACTCAAGTCCAAGACGGGTCAAATTATCAAGAATCCAAATGATCAACTACGGCGTTGGGTGGAGCATTATCTCGAGCTGTACTCTACAATGAATGTAGTTACTGAGACCGCTCTCCATAATATTCCTGCCTTATCAGTAATGAATGAACTTGATGAAGAGCCAACTTTACAGGAGCTCGAAAAAGCTATCGATTACCTTGCGGATGGGAAGGCTCCAGGGATCGACGGCATCCCAGCGGAAATCCTCAAAAATGGAAAACCTATCCTACTTCAGCCCTTACATGAGCTCCTCTGTCTGTGTTGGGAAACAGGACACATTCCCCAGGACATTAGAGACGCCAACATCGTAACACTGTATAAAAATAAAAGGGACCGAAGCGATTGCAATAACTACCGAGGTATTTCTCTCCTTAGCTTAGTTGGAAAGACTTTTGCCCGGGTTGCCCTTAAACGATTGCAGAGCCTTGCGAACCGCATCTACCCAGAGTCCCAGTGTGGCTTCAGGAGTGGGCGCTCAACAATAGACATGATATTTTCGCTACGTCAAATGCAGTAGAAATGACGCGAACAGCATATGCCTCTTTATATTGCCTTCATAGACCTGACCAAGGCATTTGACTTGGTAAGTCGAAGTGGCCTTTTCAGTATCCTGCAAAGAGACGCCTTCACTGGTTAGGTCATGTACGGAGAATGGAGGAAGGACGTATCCCAAAGATTCTGCTGTATGGAGAGTTGGCAGAGGGGTCAAGACATATTGGACGACCGCGCCTGAGATTTAGTGACGTTTGCAAACGAAGCATGAGGGAAGCCAATATTGAAATAAATGAATGGTAGTCCATTGCCGAACATTGCTCCAACTGGCGTACAGCAGTGCATGTTTGGAGGAGTGAGAAAGAATTTACCGGGTTTCAACATTCTCCTGCGAGAGATGCGGTCTTGATTGCCATTCAAGGATTGGCCTAGTGAGCCACTCGTCAAAGTGTAGAACTATATAGCTACTCCATCGTCTCGCGTAAACGGAAGGATGCCATAATAATAATTTACTAATGTCTTCTTTGTGTGTGTTCCAAACCTGGCATAGAAGTCGTCAAGCGTGCCTTTGAATGCCTTCGAGCGTGTCTTGCTAACATTTGTCTAAGGTATCTTCCGATAATCTTACTCTTGATCGTTGAAATTTCCAGAGTAAAGGTGCATGCTGCACAACGGACCACACCAAGTAATTTTCGTAGCATAAAATCCTTTCTAGCATAAAGTGAAAGTGAATCGTTCGGTGACTGGTTTCTTGTTTGTTTCGCTCTTAAATTGTTGCTGATGAGCGTGAATGTTTCCCTTGTTGGTTGTTGTGGTCTAGTCTTCTCCACCAGAAAAAGACTTTTCGTGAATTCAACTTTTGCTTTCCCCTGCAAGCCTCCCTTCTGTTCCCCTGGGATGCTCAAGTTGTAATGGTTTGATTCGTGCCCAGTCAATCTGTACTATTTTTACTATTTATAACTGACCTGTATGTTACAATGTGTGAAGCCTATACAGTACAGCTTCCAATGACGACCCAAGATTTTGGCGTCATAACTGCTTCATAGTTGGTTCTGATGTCCATGCTTATTCATTAGTCCAGTAACTTGGCCTGCTTTTCTGCTACTTTAGTCTCCACTTTTCATTAGTCCACTAACTTGGCCTGCTTTTCTGATACTTTAGTTCCCATGCTTCATTAGTCCAGTAACTTGGCCGGCTTTTCTCCTACTTGAGTCTCCATGCTTCATTAGTCCAGTAACTTGGCCGGCTTTTCTCCTACTTGAGTCTCCATGCTTCATTAGTCCGGTAACTTGGCCTGCTTTTCTCCTTCTTGAGTCTCCATGCTTCATTAGTCCGGTAACTTGGCCTGCTTTTCTCCTTCTTGAGTCTCCATGCTTCATTAGTCCAGTAATGTGGCCTGCTTTTCTCCCAGTTTGCTGCTTTTCTTGTACTTTAATCTCCATGCTTCATTAGTCCAATAACTTGGCCTGCTTTTCTCCTACTTGTGTCTCTATGCTTCATTTGTCCAGTAACTTTGCCTGCATTTCTCCCACTTTAGTCTCCATGCTTCATTTGTCCAGTAACTTGGCCTGCTTTTCTCTCACTGTAGTCTCCATGCTTCATTTGTCCAGTAACTTTGCCTGCTTTTCTCCTACTTGAGTCTCCATGCTTCATTAGTCCAGTAACTTGGCCTGCTTTTCTCCCACTTTAGTCTCCATGCTTCATTTGTCCAGTAACTTGGCCTGCTTTTCTCTCACTGTAGTCTCCATGCTTCATTTGTCCAGTAACTTTGCCTGCTTTTCTCCCACTGTAGTCTCCATGCTTCATTAGTCTAGTAATTTTGCCTGCTTTTCTCCTACTTGAGTCTCCATGCTTCATTAGTCCGGTAACTTGGCCTGCTTTACTCCTACGTTGATCTCCATTCTTCATTTACCTGTTAACCATTGACCAACTACTGATGCAAGTTGTGCTGACATTGTCCAAATGTTGTTTCTGTAGCAAGTATGTTTCTAGGTGATGGGGGCACCGTCCTAATACCCCCCCCCTTCTTTATTCTTGACTTGGAATAAGCCGTGGCAGAGCTGAATAAAATAAACCAATGGTATTAAATCTAAATTAAAGTTTTTGAACCTTTTCCTTACAAAGACTTTGGCCATGTTAATTAAATTGGGACTATTTTTTACATAAATAAAATGCTTTAAATGCTCATTAAGATTATGTTAATGCATTGGCGGCGGTACTTTTTTTTCTTCTTTATTTGAAGGTATGACTATGACACATTTTACTTTTTTTGGCGGGAAATAAAGGTGGGGTGCGGCTAACATCTTATCCCGCCCGGGACACTGTGCCTTCTTTAGGCATGGGCACAGGGGGCAGTTTCCCAAGGCCACACGCTTCTAATTCTTCTTCTATATTTTGAGGGCCCACTCATTCTGGCTGCTATGTTTCAAAGGGTTCGCGATCTAACTGTGCATGGTTTTGAAGTGGGATACTTCACAGCTTGCAAGAGCTACTCAGTGATGGTATTAGTATTATGGAAGACAGGAGGCAATATACGCATATGTGTCAAGTGTAGTCGCCTCAGCTGTTGCTTTTGGAAGCTTGAATCCAGTCCTTGATTGTCTTTGGCAGGAATGAGGAGATCCTGTACCGAGTTCTTTTTGTATGAGCCGGAACTACCTGTCATGGCCTCGTCGCTGTCCTGGAGGAGTGGGGGGCCGAGTTTCTCTTTAATGCTGGAGCAGTGGACCAGCCCATTTTTTTATCTTGACATCATGAAGCTCTATGGACATCAACTTTCCCATATTGTTGATGAATATTGAAATATATTTATTATTTAGGTCATTATTTCTTTTTTTTTAAAAGTGCAGCGGGAAGCAGCTTTCCTAAGTTTTTTTGAACTAGTTTTTTTTTTATTGATTTTAAAATCAGTTCGATTTTTTGGGGTGCTAGTTTGAGAAAAAAATTCGTCAATAAACAAAATTCATAGATCCAGAAACTCTTGAGCACCCTGGGCCTAAAATGCTTTTGCTTACATTACTTTCAGTCATAGGTTAGAGGGGAATTGGGACATCGGCAGGATGGACACAAAATTACCCTTTTTTTTAAATTTTTATTTTGTGTGCTTAACATTAACAGACGTACATTATATAGGCCCTATTTGTATTGAAATGAGTAGCTAACAAAGCTAACAAAAAAAGTAACACTGGTAACTTTTAAAATGTGTACAGTCAACAGTGGCGTAGATTTGGCTGCTCGAGATGAAACAATATTTTCGTCGCCCACTACGAAAATGCCACCTTCATTATAGGCCTATAAAAAAGAGTGCCACCCGGGGAGGACAGCCCCCCCCCCCACCTCCTACGCAGATGACTGTCCAATATTGCCTCTCTCCTTTAATTTTTAAAAAAAAGTTAAATAAATTTATTTCATAGACACTAAATATTCCCATAATCTTCAAATTGCAGCCCCCCCCCCACACACACACACATACCAATAAGCATAGCCTAAGCCACACGTTGGAAAGAAACTGATCTTGGTGTACTGTCGGGCATCAATGATTTGAAATTTTGGAGGGGTGCAATTTAAGTGATTGTCGTAAGAGCCAACGGTACGCCTCTGCGAGGAAGTGTCATCATTTAAAAAGTAATAATAATCACACCCAATTGGGCAATTCCAAGATCTGCCTCTGGTGCTACGTCTTGTGTTCTCAACACAAAAAAAAAAAAAATATTTAAAAAAATCGTTATATAATTTGTGGATGCTTTTATTTTGCAATAATTTCATAGGTAATAGATAACTTTTTGTTCTTGTATGTGACATGTCAAGCGATTAAAGCATTGTAAAATTTGGCTATCAATATAACATTTATTGTGTTCAGAAAATAGTTAAGAAAACGCGCGAAATTCAGATGTGACATATGATTATTGTGTAATTTTCTTTTATAATATGAATATTGTATTGAACTAAAATTTAAAGGCATGTGTAGATTCCATAAATGGTGTAAATTGTTACTAAATCACCCAACAGTCAAATCAATTAAAAATTATATTTAATTAGGATTTAATATTATGGAGTTATTGTTTACGTTTTGTTAGCTGACAATTTCATACTCCCGCTTTTGGTACAGCCTCCCTTCAATTAACCAATCAGGATTGACATTCTACGTCACGTGATAACGCTTCCTTGAGTCTGCTGCCCACCACCTCGTGTGAAACTTGCGTTTTCCTAGTGCCTTTCGGCATACATTTTTGGAAAATCAGAATATCAAAATGAGTGACACAAAGACAGCTCTTGCTCGCGATGGAACTATGCAAGTTACTGCAAAGGTAAATACATTTTCATGGTACTTTTAAATAGAAAATCTACACCAAAACAGCATGCAGTACATGGCAGAAAGATCGCCATTTTGCCTTGTATTTACAATTCAAACGTAATTGTTTGCCCATGTCTTTTTTTGTCTAAATTCCCTCCAGTTAATCGGGATGGTCAAAATGTTTTTTCAAAGCCATCATTTGAAGATCTTATTACATACGTAAATAAGATGCTCTAGATTTAATTTGTACAGGTAAAGCTGTTTTAGTGTGAGTATTTAAAAATATATAAATCTGACCAAAATGTCTAATCGGCGTACCCAATTTTCAACATGGCGGCCATTTGGCATGCAAGGTCATAAAGCTTCGCTAAAACATTTGAAAGAACCCGCTCGTGGCGATGAAGCCGTCTCTATGCGCAAAAAAAGCTGTTAAAAAATATGAACAATAAGCCAGTAACAATGTGACTTGTAAAAATATTAATTTATCTTAAATATAAGAACATCTTTAAATTGTGACCAAATTACCAGCCAAATTTCTTAGTAGGCCAACTGCAATAAACTATCTTAGCCTCAAATGGAAGGCCTTTTACTTAACAAATAAATACTTCACATATGGCTGATTGCTTAAGACTTAGGGCCATCTATTTCACAATTTAAAAAAAAAAAAAATTAAGTAGAAAAACCTAAACATCTTAGTGAAAATAAGACAACAGTACAGACTAGACAATTTTAATGGCAAAAAAAAAAAAAAAATTAAGTAGAAAAACCTACACATCTTAGTGAAAATAAGACAACAGGACAGACTAGGCAATTTTAATGGCCAAAAAAAAAAAAAATTGAAATAGGACAAGCACTCTGCTTGCCAATTGTTTAATTTTACTAGACATAGTTAATTGAAAGGAGATTTTAAAAGACTACGCCCATTAGCAATTATAGCTTAATTCGATTTTGATCATCAATCCCTCTTGTAGGTGCGTTGACTTCACACACTTTATTTTTGAAAATGTTTGCTCACAGACATAAGTTGTTCCAATTCCATGCATGCTGCAAACGGATGTCAACTCTTCATATCTGAACAAAAATCAACACCACAAATAAACATGAGAAGTTGTGAGAGATCAGTATACTCATCCAGTGCCAGAGAATACCACAGCAAGTTCCTAGCTTTCTCACATATTTGTAGCACTATGTTCTCTCCAAGTTCTTGTGTTCTCCGCACAACTAAACTTCTGCAGTGACTAAGAAAGATTAAATGTCCTCTTGTTTCCAACACTCCTCTTTCTTTCACCCATTTACAGTTTGTGTTGGTTATCAGGCTATAATATTTTAGCAGAAATAGGCATAGGCTTAATGGAAATTGATTCTTATTTTAAAATTTGTAATTTTTTTTTTTTTAACCGCTTTTCCTATAAAAAAAAACACCTCAAGTTACTTGGTAGGTTATTTTAAAATGATGCCATCATTTGTTAATTAATTCTTATAAATAAATACATTTTATTTTATGCTGAAAATACGTTTTATTTTATGCTGATCTGAGATTGAACCAGTAACTTTATTTTTACCAGTGATAGACTGTAATAGTGTAATCTGTACGCCCATTAAATATAAATTAATATCTATGGCAAATACACGTCTGCAAAACAAAGTGACCGCAGATTATATTATATACATTGGTCATCTACTTTCAGTAGTTAACTTTTTTTATGCCAGCTTTACTCTATCCCACTAGGAACTAATAGGATACAGTATTGTACTGTTTTGAGATGATGTACGATTTTAAGAGTTCAAGAGTAAACAGGACTGTTTTAAACAAGTAAATCTAGCTAAAATAATTGAAAATGGTAAATTAAGGCGCATAGCAACCATGAGGTCTCTGCACCTGTGAAGATCTCCGAGTATTCTAAACAAAATATTGAAATCTAAATTGTATCACAACGTCTCATGTTCCTTACATGTAGCAAATTCAACTGCTGTCAGCGGGCCATAGTTTGGTGACTCCTGCACTATGCCATTGGTTAATTTTTTAAAATAATAATAATAAAGTGTATTTCAAAAACACGCTTCATCCCCAAAGGCTCGAATCGCGGTACAAGAGTAAAAAAAAACAAACTATAATTTACCACATTTAAAACAAACGCAACACAACAAAAACTAATTACAAGCAAACAATGTCAAAGTCTTTCTACCCATTTCAACCCTGAGCAACACAGCTAATATGCATTAAATGGAAAATATGGTAGACAATCATCCCAGGTGTTTGCGAAATAAATGTCTTTAAATCGGTTTTAAAGGACTCCAGTGTCTGATTGTTTCTGAGATCGAGTGGAAGGGCATTCCAAATTGTTGGACCAACAAATGCGAAAGTGCGCTTTCCGCAAGTCTCAAGGCGAACACGTGGTGTCAAGAGTTTGCCACTGTCGGATGAGCGGAGTTGTCTAGTGGGTACATAAGGCCTCTTTTATCAAAGTACCTAATTAGAGATGCATTTCGTAGGTCAGGTTAATAATTGAATTTAACTTAGGAGGGCTACATAAATAACTATCTATGATAGACAAATAAAACAAGCAACAGTGAAAACATGATGCGGTTTGCCAAGATTTGGGAATCCAAATACTGAACTGAGTTCATAGACCTATTGATGGACCTGAACGATGTATGTGATTTTTCTGTTTTTTCACTAAGCCTTACTTGCTTCATAAACCATATCCACAATTGATACGGTTATGATCTATATTAAATTTTAAATTTCTAGTTCTATTGATTTTTTTATACAAGTTTCAAAAGAAATAGAAAAAGAAACATCCTTGCTGATACCCTAACAACTGTTAAGGGAGAAAAAAAAGAAAGGCTGAAAGTGCTAACTTTTGATTAGTTGAAAATCGAAGATCCCTTACATAAGACTTCGGTAATAAAAGAGACACCACTACATGAGGTAGTGCTGGTATACTACTAAGCGGTAGCTTAGAAAATATTTGATAACTTGTGTTTCAAAATTAGAAGGCATTTAAACTAGAATATTTCCATTTTGAGGTTTAAAAACCCAGTTGGATCCATATTATGAATTATTATAATTTTGTGTGCAAAATATCAGTTTAATTCATGAGAGTTTGCCGTGTACAGACTTGTTTAACCACTGGTTGGAGAATATGGTTATTTAAGAGAGCGGCCCGCGTCTATTTCCATGGCCGCCATCTTGGTTGCCTCGACCCGCTTACTTTTACGTGTTCACGGGTCGAGGCAACCAAGATGGCGGCCATGGAAAAATTAAATAATTCACGTTTGCTAAAATAAGGAAGAAAACGATAATGTATGAAAAAATTGTCTAAAATCGATCCCTATGCCTAATCTGAATCCTAAATCTATCCCCATGCCTAACCATAAATCTATCCCTATGCCTAACTTTAAATCGATCCCTAAGCCTAACCTGAACCCTTAAAACTAGCCGTAAATCCACAAGTGAAGACACATGGAATTTCACACTTTGGCAAGAAAACTCTAAAAATTAACAAAAAACAATATAAAAAAAAAAAGCCCCAAATAATTATAAACTGAAAAAATATTGAAAATCCAACTTACAGTTTCATGAAATACACTTTTACACACTTTATTTCGGGTTGCAACGAAAATATAGCCACAAAATGAATAAATCTCCACACCCTACAGGCACCCCAAAGATATTAAACATGGCGGAACAAAAGAAATATGATAATGAGCCAACCAATGAAAATTTTAAAATTATAATTAATCAACCAATAAAATTTTAATTCCGAAAATGTAACTCTTTTAATAAAAATAAGAAAATAAGGGGAGTGAATCCAAAACAAATTCGTCGTGGGCCGCTCAATCTGAAACGGCCGATAAAACTTTTAAAAATTAGTCTTGTGCAATAGTTTTTTTTTTAATTATTATTTAATACTAGAGACCTGATGATTTCTATCATTTCACCATAAATATTGTCTTCTTTCAAAGACAGTAGAAACTAATCTCATGTCGTCTGTTGAACCTCAGCCAGTGTTCCATTTGGTCAGACATGCAAAACTAGCACCTATGTTATTGGCTTAGGCTATATTTTCATCATCAGTGGCGCTTACAGCCCATGTAAGGTCCTGGCCTGCTCTACATCTTTCTAATGGTCCATGGCTTTCTGCCTCCATGCTCGAACCCCCAATTGGTGTAAATCCTTCTCTACACCGTCAATCCATCTCAGCCTTGGTGCCCCTAGGTTTCATCCTGTATATCACTTTTGCTGCTCTACATTCCGGCATCCTTTCAATGTCCTGTCCAGTGCAGTCTGCCCCTTTTTTTTTTTAATGTTGCGACTATGTGTGGGTCTTTGTATAATAGGTATAGCTCTTGATTTGTACAGATTCTCCATATTTTCCAACACTGCAATGTTCCCTCTTAAGGTTTGTTGGTTCGTGTGAAAAATCATACAGTTTTGTGCAAAGTTTTACAGCATCAATTTTTCTGTGTGCTAAATTTTACAGCCCACAAACACACACTTACATGGAAATTTGCTGCGCGGATACTCAAAACTGCTGCGCGACGTCTGTGAGATCATTGTAACACTGTACCATATATTTTTCTGAGGATTTTCCTCTCCCATGTATTGAGAATGTTCTCTGCTTTTCTGGTAACTAGCTTTAGTTACTACTAGTCTTATGATAGTGGTGTATATCTTCTTTGTGAGGGGTTTTTTCTTCCCAGGAGCTTTTGTATGCTGAAATAGGAAATATTATACTGTATGTTAAATGTATTATGTATTATAATAGATCTTATTACGTAATTAATGGTTTTGTCGTATGGTAACAACCAGTTAGGGTTTTCAAAACTGTTATCCGGAGATCTGATTAACACCCTTAGTTTAGATTCTATCTTATTTCACCAAAGCAACAATAACATAACTACATCAAACAAAATTAATTTCAAAATTGTACTTTTTCCTTTTTTTTTTTTTTTTTCCAACTCCCTGATTTTAAAATAGAAATAAATGTGAATCTAAATTTCCTTAAGTAGTCTTTTTTTTTTTTTTTTTTTTTTTTGCCAACTCCCTGATTTTAAAATAGAAATAAATGTGAATCTAAATTTCCTTAAGTAGTCTGTTACCATTATAAAATATATCAAATGGGGAATAATGTCTTAGAATCTGTGTTTAATAGCAGAATAGACTGTCATTTCACGCCACTGATTTTCATATTTTTAAAAAAAAAAAAAGCCTTTGGGCTGACCTTTTTTGTTTCACATTCTTTTGTCTTCAAATTTAATGCAGTTCAAAGTACTGGTGTAATAAATTTGAGCTGCTGCTTTTTTAGTTGATGAACCAGAGTTATATATATATTATATCGTCATAAGTTTTTAAAATGATCAAGTACACACTGACATGAAACCATCCAAAGTGAAATTAAATGCTCAAGGGTGCAACCACTCATCAGTTGGAGTTTCTGAAGACACTTGTGTGATGAAAATAGATCTAGATCTGTTTCATTTTCAGGAGGGCATTGAATACCTTAAAGCTGAGGGCAAAACTCAACTGTTAAAGGCACAGGGTCTTGTTGAGGACAAGCCTGATGTTCCTAGTGATGGAACAATAGTTTCCACAGCCAAGGTATGTTCTATCACCATCATTTTTGTTAAGATGAAGTGGTTGAACCCTTGCGCTAGTAAATTGCATTTAATACATAAATGCATACTTATAATATAAAGGCTTTTGACTACTGAGATGGAACATTTTTATTTGAAATACGGTTTGTTTCTATTTTTTTACAATTATTTTTGTTGCCTGACCAATTTGTGCTTTTTTGCATTATTTGAATTGTTTCAGCCGGTCAAAAGTGGTACTGATTTTATTACTAAATATTGTTGCAATTTGAATTTCATTTTCCCATTTTTTTTTTTTTTTTTAAATATATATTTTTCCTTTAACCTTTTTAGAATAACTTATGCTTATTTGGGTTAAAATATTTCATTTTTGTTGCTCCAAAACTGTTTTTTCTGGGGCTGAAAAATTTGAATGTTTAATAAAGCACCACCCAATAAGCCGTTATAGCGATATTTACATCTTGATTGCATCTCATATTTTATATTTCTTAAATTATTTCAGGAGGGTGAACGTATCCTTGATGGTAAAAAGCCAGATGAAGATGCTCAAACTCGGGGCCAACAGAAACAGATAGAAGAGTTGAAAAAAGAAAAGACACCTGAACCTCCTGCTAAGAAATCAAAACTTGCTAAGGATGGCACCATGGCGGCCACAGCAAAGGTAGTCTAAAAGTGACATAATACAAACTTGATAATTTTGGATTGTGTTGGTGTCTTTTTAAGTTGTATTCCAAGTGTAAAGTTGTGACAAAGTTCTATAAATATATTGTGACTTCAGTAGATTTATAACAAATTATTATTTTGGAACATTTTACTGTCAACATTTCTTAGGAATTTTATATTTCCCATCATTTACAGGAAGGTAAAGCTCTGCTGTCTGGGGAGAAACTTGGGGACACAAGGCAAGACACTGCTGCACAGAAGGGTAAAGCCAAAGCTCCCCTTAAGAAAAACTCCACCATTGCAAAAACAATGGAAGAAGGTATGTGGATTAACTTGAGCACAAATTTTTTTAGTTTATTTATGGCTTATCTCAACAATATATTGTTAAAAGAAAAAAGTCATTATTTTATGGTTCCAAAATGCTTTTATAGAATAATCAATGTTGAGTTTTATTTTTTTTTTTTTAAATCTTGCAGCTAAGTATGTTCTTGATGGTGAGGTAGACGTGAACTCTGGTAGAAAGACCCGTTCACAAAGCCGTGGTGATCCTCCAAAGCCACCTGTTAAAAAGGCTCCAGCTCCTAAAAAAGCAGCTAAAGAACCAGCCAGAGGAGGCAAAGGTAAAAAGGGCAAGGCAGCTGAAGAGACTGCTGCTGAAGGAGATGCTGAGGAGAAAAAGACAGAAGAAAAGAAAGAGGAGAAAAAAGTTGAAGAAAAGAAGAGTTCAGCAAAGGGTAAGAAGGGCAAGGCAGCAGAAAAAGAAGACGCTCCAGTAGCAGCAACAACAGAAGAGGATTCTGATGAGAAGAAAAGTGACAGTTAGTCAGTTCATTTTGTGTATCCACATTTACATACATCTGGACATGTCTGCTTTGTCAACATTTGACCACACTTTTTGCTTTAAGGATTAAGAATATCAAAAGCCATTCAATTGAGAGAAAGTTCACATAAAAAGGAGGCGATTTTGTGATTAAATGTTTACAAACAGAATATGACTAATCAATCATCTCAAAATATTTGTTTCATTTAAATGTTGGAGTCTGCCACATTGCATAGTAACCGAGCTTAAGATGAAATTCATCTTTTGGATAATTTTTGTTGGGAATTAACTTGGTGGTTTTAAAAAAAAAGAAAGAGGTGTCATATGAGGAAGGATGTATTTTTTTCCAATAAATTCCTCAGCAAATGTATTTCTAGAACAAAAAGTATTTACTTTTTAATTAAATTATACAAAATGACACTTGATATGCAGTGTGGAGGGCATTCTTGTATGAGATATCCATTTTGTTTCCTAACTTGTTGGTTACTGTGTACCATATAACACCAATTGGTGGTCCATAATCATTGAAAGAGATCTTGATCCATTGAAACATGCTACTTTTCCTCACTTCACAGAAGAGCCTGTGTTTTTAGTGAAACTGGTCTATTTGTGATTTTCAATCTTTGACGGTTATAAATCTGCTTTAGTAAATCCGTGATGCTGAATTTTTTTATTTTTTTTTGTAATCAAAGTTGCACGTCCATTCCACCAGTGCATAATTTTGTGATTTGAAAAAGATAGTTTAATTTCTGTGGATCAAGGTGTTGTTTTGGTTTTTTGAAAGGGAAACCGTGAATGAATAGATTGTTGTAGTTAGATTTGTTTCATCATTTTTAGTTCATTGTGAATATCATATTTCATGTTTGAGTTGAATGTTATTTTAAATTTCATTTGTGAGGGATTTATCTTACATTTTTAAAAATATCTTTAGAACTTCAATAATCTATTACAGTTTTTAACTAGACATAAGTGTTTGTGCCTCTTGATGAATGGTGTGCTTATGGCTGAGCATATTAGTCATTTGGCAACAGATTTGTTTTACAACTCTTTTTAAATCAGTCCCATCTGTTGATAAATTTCCCATCTTCTAAAATAACCAGGCATATTTTTAAAAATTGTACATTCTATGGTCTTAACTGTTAATTTAATCTAATTATATTTTTGTTCAAGTGCAAAATTGCGGTTGGTTATGAGATGAGTAAAGGGAAAATGTTGTGAATACCATTCAATCTTCTTTTTTTTTTTTTTTTTTTTTTTTCTATCTATTGCCGCTTAAGGGAAGTTTCCAATACATTAGTTTGGCAAACATGATTACGTTTTCATAACGATTAACCACAATTTTTAGAAAGTTGAATGCATTGTTTTTAGATTAGCTGGTACTTAAAACTTTGGAACTTGAGACACGCAAAAAAATTATCTCAGATCTTGTTGTTGTTCTTAGAAATGCATAATTTTTCTTGACAAAATTAAACAAGCTTTATCATATTATCACCAGTATCAGCTCTGTAATTGAGTTATTTGAGAGAAAGGCAGCATCATTTTCGTATGTCTTGGACTGCAGTTAAACATGCCTAGGTTACTCATAATCACAGATAAATGTATTATGTCACCTGCACAGGTTTTAATCTAGAGAATGTCTGAAGTTGATACAGAATATTTCACCAAGAGTGTTCTTTTCATGTGCAGATCTTTAATTTTTTATAAATTTGTGATTATTGGTAACATTTTTTTTCAGGGGTTTTAAAAAATTTGGGGACCTGTTTACTCAACTCTACTAAGAGGTCAACTTATTACAAATCAGAAAAAAAATGTTGGTTCATATATTGAGGGTGTTATGGTTTTATTGAAATTTCAGGTAACCTTTAGCAAATGCACATCCATCTGTTGAAAGTGTGGGTTTGTGACAATTTCTTATGGTTTGAGTTTATCCACAGGTTGACACTTCATATTCAAAGCATGTCCGTTACACACAAGTACTCAATTCATTTTTAATTTGACAAAGTTATCATTTTCTTCATAATGCCTGTCTAATTGGTTGGAAAGATATGTTAGATTTTAGTGTTCCAATGAAATGAATATTATGTAATTGAAAAAATTTGTATGCTCCAGTTATGCTTGCACAGTGTGGTTTGAGTCAGTCATTAATAAATTTTATAGAAAAAGTATTTTGCTACTTAAAATTCATATTTTTACCCCCTTAAAATGAAATTTAAAATCCTTGTTTTACTGTGCTGTAGCTATAATTTAAATTTTTAGTATTCTCTGTTAATGTAATTAAGATTGGATTTCAGGGGTTTATTTCTTGTATTCATTTTTGATAAGAATTTTTATTTCTGTATGTTATGACTATGTACAAGTATAAGATCTATAGTTGATTGTTTTGATATCACTGAAGTTTTCCCCACTATCGCTTCATCCATTGAAAACAAAAGGTTCATCTTCATCTTTCAATGGTATACGTCATCCTTTTCTGCTTTCATAATAAAGTATGTTGTAACATATTTATCAGATGTTTGTGTTTTGTGCATGCACTTTGAGGATAGCTGCGGATTGCTTGGAGCAATGTACAGTATCAGGGTTTCCAGATGGTTTGTAGGTGCACAGTCTTAACATGCTAAAACATTTTATCAGGATTAATCACTGTAATTGTATCGCAATTTGGAACCTGAGACTTAGCCAGTGCTGTGCTACCCATGGGCTGATTTTGAATGGCCATTTTCAGAGAGAAAATTAAAATATTTTTAAGCACATCAGCAGAGCAACCAAAGGTAACTTGATGTGTAGCTATTTGGTCATTGTCAAAAAATTTCCTTGCCCCCACCAACAGAACAAATGAAGGTGAAATTAAAATAATGGGTTATCACTGTGTTAATAAGTGCTCATGGTGGGATAATAATAATATAACTGGGAAAGTCCCCAGGCCAGAGTAATGGAGATGGCAACTGGCGTTTAAAAGGTGTCCCAATTGAATGATTATGTATGATTGGGGTAATAAGGGGAGAGACTGCAATCAGGTTAGTACAAAATAAAAGTAAAACAGTAGGGTTAAACCTGAAAAAATAAACGCAACAAAACAGCGAACGTGTCACACTTCTATTGCTGCCCACAGATACTACTTACCAGCTAAGTGCTATTTCTTATTTTTATACCGTTTTTTCTGTTGTTTTGTTCGCTGACGAAGGCTTTCTGCCGACACGTTCGCTGTTTTGTTGCGTTTATTTTTTCAGGTTTAACCCTACTCTGTTTTACTCATTTTATTTTATGTATGATTGGTAGAGTATCCAGTATGGTATGTTGTTAATGTTAGATGGATAGTTTAACCAAGTATGGGATACTGTGCTGTGTAATGTGACGATGGGGACAAGTACCTGGTACCGGTATTTTATTAAGAGATCTGAGTGTGAGACGATCAATGAGTAGAAATCAGGATACAAGCTGTGTTTGTAAGTCAGCGGAATTCAGTCGCGAAGTGTGAGAAACGGCAGGAAAGATTCTTGAAAGTAATTTTTAAAATAAACAAGAACGCTTGGCCAAATATCTGGAAGAAAGATTGTATGTTTCTTCTGATGAATTTCCACTACAATTGAAATTCGGACCATGTATTTGGAAGCAGCCTATATGACTGAAGCTGGAGTACTTAAATGACCAACATCAAAGCCAAAAAATTTAATGATTTGACTGGTGAGCATTTAGAAAATCTAATGAGGGCAGGTGCTACTGATAACTACCTCAAATTAAGACATTTGCAAACCGATTAAAAGTTAAAAGCAATACATTTTAAAAAGGACTAAAGTTTTTTTTTATATTAGCTTTCTTTATATTCTTTAAAATAATATTGGATATATGAATATGAGCTTAATACGGTATAAATACATAAGGTAAGAAGTACCTTTTATATTAGTAGTATAATTTTCTAAAAGTTCTTTGGCTCCACAGAAAATGCAAATTTAGCCCACTTAAAATTTAAAAGGTTGGGATAGGAATGGACTAAAGTATCATATCACAGTACGTTTTTAAATTTTATATGGTATTGAATAAATGTCACCAATCTGAAAATATTTATTTAAACTTAGACCAACAAAACTTGTTTGTACTACAAATTGTAGGCCTACTGTACCTACCATTACCAATATAAGAAAGCTATTACAAAAATGAATTATTCACAATATATATAGTATATTACTATTACGTACTAGTATTACCTGTACTATATTAAAAATACAAGCACTTTTATGTTTATGCATTATTTTTATTCAGAGACTCTGGGATAGGTGTACATTGTGCAAGTCAGTAAGTAAGTCACGAAAAAGAGCATCTGTTATTCATATAAACAAAAAAGCCAAGGAGTGAAATCTTTTCTTATGAAATAGTAAGATAGTACTAAGATAGCTATTAATTCTAAAACTCTGTCGCATAAATCTAGAATAATAGAGATTTAAAACCTGTCACTATGGTACCAGTGATTGTTAAATACATTGAGCATGAAATCTACATACTACTAGTACTTGCAGTTTGTGCAGGATAAATGAAAATGGGCAAGATTGGTAACTTAAGAAATTCCATTTTTTTTTGTAAAGGATGAATTTTGGCTGGTTTTTGTGTTTATTCTACATAGTTAACACTTCATTACCAGTGAATACCAGCACTGCATTTGTTCAAATGTCAGAATCACCGTTCAAAATAAAAAAAGCCATAAAATGTATGAAGTGTGTAACTGTTTTAAAAAAAACTCCAGGTAAAGATCCCATATTTTCAAAGTACCATTAATAATTATTTAAATAATTGTTTAGCAGAAGAAAAAATAAAATAAAACATTACTCGGAAATGACATTGCCCTAAAAACTTATTTACAATACATATGCCATGTTAAAAAGTAAATTTATGCATCATGTGTTGAAAGAATTAACTAAACTGACATACCTTACATGTATTCAGACAAAAATATCAATATTATATAGGCCTAAATATAAATAATAATTAGAAAACTAATTTAAAGTTGTTGAGATTGTTTGCAAGCATTGAGCATGAATAGTATATCAAAAAAAAAAAAGCCTTTTAAGCATTTGCACAATGCCAAAAGCCACCGGATTCATTTGGTTTGGGAGAACTGAATTAAATCATCTATCACAGTCATTTGAAAATAATGTTTATTAAAAATAGATATGTCCAAATTAATGGAGGTAACAGTAATATAAACCAAAAAGAGTCAAAATTATTCTTTAAAAAAAAAAAGAAATGTAAATATTTTGATATTCATATCAAATAAATAATCTTGAAATATCTACATTACAGTAAATAAATATGTGAGCCTTGTTCAGTCTTTAAGACATACAGTACAGAGAATAAATGTATATCAGTCACAACCTTTTGTAATCAAATTAAATCACTTGAGAATATGATATGGTTAAAAATTAATTTACAAATTTGATAATAAGCCCTATGTAGTCCATAATTACAGTAGGGTAATAATGTATGTGTGTACATTTTTACATACATAGTAATAGCTTCAAAAAATTATTTTTTTTGGAGGAAAGGAAGATTAAATTAAATAAAACAAGTCTTCAAAGTCAATTTAAACATTTTTAAACAAAACTACCGTAACAGAAATAAATAAGGTCTTTATCCATACCGGTATAGGGAGAAAATAAAAATGCTATCGACTAATACTAATAGCAATTAATAATTCGGATTTTATTTAGAAAAAAATTTAATAAATATGTTATAACATTAAAGTAAATGTTAAAAAGGACAACTCATGCTGTAATGTTCATCCTCTAAAAAAAAAATGTCCCCACTTTGTTGATTACAGCAGCCCTTGTTAAAAAACAAACCTGTATTAAAACTATATTAAAATAGTTTTGTTTGACTGAAATTCTGAGTGCTTTCAGTCATACAGAACAGGAAAATTTGTTAGATAAACAAATTAACATTGTATCATTATCCAAATCACCCTTTAAAATCCAGTTTCACAATGCCAAATGTGGTTGAAAAAATTATTTAATTTCTAGTTATAAATTCATGGTGTTAAGTATTATAGCTTACTTTCTTTCCAATGATCTAAACAGGTAATAATTTGAGGGCCAAGAAGCAATGTATTCATGCATATTCACTGGAAATACATAAGTCAAAATTAACATGTTTATGGTGATGGAAGTCAAGGGGACAGTCAATTTTTTAAAAGGGGTCTATTATTGGTTAGTTTAAGAAATAGCCATCAAGTGGTGTGCTAATACAAAGCTATGTACACTTCACTTATGGTTCCACCAGTAATCTTGCTTTAATATTTTTAATTGTTCAAAACACCCCCCCCCCAAATTATAGCATAAAAATAATAACGTGTTCACAATTTCCATAAAATATGAAGTTAGATGAATCACTTTTTTTTCAACTTGTAAAATATTGTCTGGTGTTTAAAGTTTATTACACTTAAGTGCTGAATTGTTATCTCTTTTCTTAGACATGTTCTGGTTGGGAGAAGTATAAAAAAAAATCTTATTGATGAAATGTGGAAAGTTTTTAGGAGATGATTTAGCAAAACAATCTTTTCTATTTATTAGCTACAGGCAGAAAAGTAACTGACAAACTGTGAATTAGAGGCACATTTACATCAATTAATAACACCAGTTGCTGTGCAAATTTGGGACTTTCTTCTACAATTGCAAAAAACATATTTTAATAATGTCAAACATTACAGTTTAGTATTTGTCAAATCTCTACCAGACGTATCCGTCACATGTCTACCAGATGCCACAGAATTCACACCCAGCTGTTGAGGTTCGTACACATTTGTATATGCGCAGGCTTTCTCTATACTTTGTCGGCTAGCCCGGCTGCTCCCACGTCGAGCGAGCCCACCGTCTGCCAAGCTAACCTTACTTGCTGCACTGCCAGCAGTGCCATTGTCAACGCTGCGCCTGATCCCCATTAAACTGGATGACGCTGAACCCCCGTGATGGGATCGGGCCACTGCAATGTGAATACATTGCACCCACTGCTCAACATTTTGATGGCCTTTAGCCTTGAACTTGTAGGTCTGATCACCAGTGAAGATTTCAAAAGCTTTTGGAATGTCCCGAATACCTTTTCTCACAGCTTTCACACTTTGTATTTTTGTGACCGGTAGAGATGCTTTGGTCTGCAAAAGAAATACAAAGGTTATTACAGTACTTTCAAAATAAAAGTAAATTTTTAAAAAGACAAAATATTTTTTTTTTTAAATTTCTTTTTCAAAAATGCATTTTTTTTTTTAAATTTGAGGAAATCTAAATTAAAATGATTATTATATTATTACTGAAAAGGTTGGGGTTTTTTTAAAAGGAGGGATGGGAAAAAATTGTCTTCTATTTTAACCAGCTGATACATTTTCATTTTCAATAGATGAAGACAATGAAGTAAAGTTCTAGCTCTGAATACCAGTACTATGAAGATGGGAGATAATCTGATGACATTTTTATTTCTCTTTCACTTTAATATCTTAGCTATAGATACTTCAGATTTGGTAAAAAAAAAATTTAAACAATCAACATGTATCATCCAATTAAGTTTCCAGGGCTAAAATGAAATTATTATTGACTCACAGCATTCCTCTTGCTGTAAGTTATGGAGCCACCAGAGAGAGTGAAGTATCGTGTTTTCCACCTTTTAAAAAACATCCACTTCCCTTTCTTCTCCTTCAACTGTCCCTAAAAAGATGGAGGAAATACATTTGTGAATTAAGCATAAAAGCTTTGCTTGTGTACCAGTGCAGGATTCAAGTAAAGTAGTTTTTAAAAAACAAACATTTGGATGGTGTGGGTGTGTGTGTGTTAGTTAATTATTTTATCACCAGTCAGACATGTGGGATAGGGCAAATTTATGTTTATTTTAAATAAATCTAGTCATATCAATTATATCTTTTTATAGTGGAGAGTACTGCCTCACAACCAAGAGTTAGAGAGGTCAATTCTGATCTGTCTGCAGTCAACCCTAGTTATGAGAAGAAAGCTTGGTGGCATTGACTCATCTGGCCAGAAAAGGCAGAGTGTGAGAGAAAAATCCCAATTTATTTCAGTTGATAGACAGGAGCCAATGTTTCATGGTAGTTAAAATCTTCTGTATATATTGTCCTAACACACAAATTAAAGATATGTGTCAAATGAGAAAAAAAAATATGACAAAAATTATTTAACACTTTTAATAAATTAATTTCAAGGACATGCATTATTTGTATTTATTTACATATGTTTTGGTTATCAAGTATAATTATACATTACACAAATTTAGAATGAGGAAATGGAAACATATAATATTCCCACATATTTTATATTAGTTAAATATTCCCTGGCTGACATTTCATTTAAAAGGCCTTCATGCGACCAGAGAAACAATGGAAATGTTTCTAAAAGTAATTAGTCATTTTAAATTCATGCTCTCCTTCTGTCTGGATGATTTTATTGGACTGAATATCAGATAATTAGCTGGTAGGATTTTTACAAATGTTCAAAATATTAGTGTATAAAATTAGAGTATAATTATGAGGATAATTTATATCTGACCATACAATTAACCAATTATTATATGGAAAGGCAGTGGTAGTCCATGTTAAATTCTTCATTGAGTTAGTACCATTTCATCGCTGTTTACCTGCATCCCACATATTTGGATTTATAATTAAACTTTGAACCAAGGATGTGCTGTATTGACTAGAGTCCAGGACAAGATGGTTACCATTGTTTAACAGTTGGACTCTTCTAAATCTTTACCCCCCAACTCCTAGAAACAAAAATAACCTAACAAAACACTTAAATTCTACAACACAGAGGACTTAAAAAGCAACACCAAAACTTACAGCTATTTCTGGGTAGCCACCATTGAGGAGTTCTGACAGTTTCTCAGGGTGATTGCAGACAAAACATGCCCAGTGTCCCTGCAGGGCATTGAACTCAAAGATGTCAAAGTAACGCATCTGGTGAAGTTCTTGCAGCAGCATCAGTTGATCCTGGAAACATTTATAAGAAAAAATTATTGGCTAAAACTGCGACAACATCATATTTTATTATTTAGGCACTTCTGAATCCGTATTTCAGTGAAAATAGTGCTTGAATTTGGGAAGGTTCCCAAAAGCAAAGCATCCACTACATTATATCCATAGTTTCATGATGCAAATTATCTGATGGGTCACCTAGCTGTAGTAAAAACTATGCACTCATTCATTGTGTTATTCATACATTATGATTAGAATACCGTGTGGATAAAGCAAAATGAGTTGGGTAACTCTGCCCTAGGGAAGTTACCACCTAGACATTTAAGTCTATTCACTTAGCTTGCGTTGGGAGGTTATTTTTTCAACAGACTACATTAAAAAATGTATGTTTTGACCTGCATCAACTGGTGAAATTTAACTCACTCATTTTATAACGAGATGCAACAAGTGTTCTTCAGACAAACAACTCAGTCAGTAAAGTAAACACATTTGATGACACCTGAATGAACGAGCTTCATAAACTTACTTTTTGTGTTGGGAAACTTGAAGTCACAAGAGCCAAAAAGCTGCTGTTTGTTTCCCCCTTTAGGGCATCCCAGCATGCTTTGAGGCAACTGACGTCTGCATCTCTTTGACTGAGGGCAAACTTGGATTGAGCCTAATGGCAGAGAAGATTGTTTGAAATTTTAGTAAATTAAATCTTTAGCATTTATAATATTTATATCACAAAAGAATATAACAAAATTTCAATGTAGAAATTACATCACATTTAGAAAAAAAAAAACCAAAAAACTATACCGTACCACTACATGGTTTGAGGTTAATTTTTCACAAAATGTTTGAAGGATATTTAATAACCTTAAAAAATTCATAATTTCAGTAATTTTATTTTAAATTACACACGAAAGTGTTCATTGGGAATATACGTTTTTAAATAAAAATTTTAATGAACTTTTCTTGGCCTTACAAAAGGACCAGGCTTCTATGAAACTTAAAAACATGCACCATGCAAATAAATTTTGGCCACTTGTTGATAACAGACTTATAATAAATTTAATACAAAGGGAGGGAAAATTCTGCATTTCTAACCATAATCATACACATAGAACAAGTAAACATGTTAAAAAATGCTCCCCCTCCCCCATTTTTAATTTGTGCAACAAAAGATCCACTGTCCATTGCGCTAAACAAATTATTTAACAAGGTGAAAATAAACTAATTCAGTCAAACACTCAACAGGACTTACTTGTACAGAGAGGAACATAAGGTGCACCCAAAGTTTAGGCAGGCGTGTGTTCAATGAAAAGTGAGAACCACTGTAGAGGCACTGTTCTGATTGGTTGGTACACTCAAAGTGCAATTTCAGGTACCTTTTGTGCTTGCCTTCTGCAAGAGAGTTGTTATGTACAGGAAAATGATTTTAAGATTCACAAATTTCCACTTAAATTTAATGGACTTTGTAGAAGTATTTTTATAATTAATTCCTCATTTCTGTTGGATTTTATCTAAGTTTATGCTGATTGGATGATTCCTTCATCAAATACTTTATAAGCTCAAATAAAAATAAATATAAGATGTCTGTGGACATTTAGTAGTCACATTAACATTATAGTTATGGTATATTTTCATAATATCTAAAATGTTTTTGTATGAAAAGATTTAAAATGTAGGAGAAACTCAATAAGAAAAACAGAATTGTAGATTCAGTTACTCCATAATGGCTCCATCTAGTCCAAAACAGAGTTGTATTGCAGCTTTCCAGTTCACAGTCAAGTACTAAAGGCAGAGGTGGAGCAGATCTTATGTAGTATATATATATATATATTAAATGACTTAACACACTACCAATTAAATGACATTGGTTAATGGAATTTCAAAGGAGGGCTTTTTCGGATCTCTTCCCCCGGGTCTTTTTCCAAAATCTCTCATAAATGATAAAGCATTTCTTCCAAATGAGAGAGGAGGGATGGTATAAAGTCATTAAGCATAATTTTCTATGCTAAATTTCATCATGAGGAATTTTTCTATTCATTCAGGATTTAAGAATTGGATACACCAAAGGCTGGTTCAATATTTTACCAGCTCTGCCGGCAAGCTTACTGAATTTCCACTATATGTCAAATTGAAAGAGAAAAAACTTACTGACAACACTGCATCTGACAGGCAGTGGAATGGTAGCATTTAGTTTATTTATAAATTGTTTGATTTTGGTGAAGTGCTTCTCACAAAACAGCTGAACTCCATCTCGCAAGGTCTCGCGCTGGTGAAATGGGGAAAAAAAATGCTCATTCATTCAATGCCGGCAATTTTGGTATATTTTATTATATTTTTTTTAGATTTCATATTTTATTTCAAAAGTGAATATTAAATATGTGTGCAAGAAAATTTTTTTTTAAGATGTTGATTTTAGACTGAGGAGATAACTTTATTTAACTCTCTTGAAACGGGGGCTCTTTGAACTTTCAGTGCCAAGAAGACAGAGATTTTTTAGACTTTTGGTGCCAAGAAGACAAGAGTCCTTATCACAAGCCCTGCACTTACTTTGGACAAGAAAATTATTAAAAAATTAACTAATTACTTCACAAATATAAAAGTATTGATATATTCTTGTAGAGAATTGAATGAGCCAATGTGATCTTTACAAATCAAACTGAAATGTCAACATTCATGCAAATGAGATATCCTGATTTTCATAATTAAAGAAAGCTAATTTTTTTTTAACACTTAGAATAAACATGTCTTACTTGTAGAATTTTGTTGCAGTTTCTGATTGTTAAAGCCTGATTAAGTCCCAACAAACATTTCAATGAGATCCAATGTGATTAACTGCATAAAGTATTTCACTGGGAGGGGGGAATGCTTATGCCTTTTGGCGTATTTCAAGGTCACATATTTTTTAAGCATTTATAGAGATCACAAAGTGTAACAACAAATTGCTAGAAAATGACAAAACAGTTAACTATCAATGGAAGCCGCCATTAAAATGGCCAGATGACCAACAAATGCAATCTGATTAGCTGGAACAAAGACTAGCCTGTCAAACTCAAGGTTTGTATTTTTGGGGCCAATGGATTGGCCATTTATCTTTTTTGCCTTTCAACTCTGGGCCAATAGATCGCCCCAGGTGCCTCAAGAGGGTTAAATTTAAATTTCATTTCTGTTACAGTAACATTTTTACAATATCTGTTTATTTATAGTTGTCCAATTTGACAAAAGTCTTCAAATATTCTTAGCTGTGAGTTAATTAAGAAATGAGTGGAGAGAGGTGAAGGCCACATGACTTTCCCATTGAACTTGTTCCCTGCAGCTTACTCTTCTTGTGCTTGGCAGCAAATTAAATTGAAATGGTAGTAACCTTGAAGCAGGAGTGATCCGAGTTGCTGTCCCTAAAAATCCTCCACAACATCAGTGTGGCCTACACATATCAAACTTACCGGAGCAACTCTCTCTGTGGATGTGCCAATGCTGGAGAAAGAATTGATATCTGCTGTTTGTGTGTAGGCCGGACTGTAAGAGTGGTCACCGGATGATAGCCTGTTAAGAATAAATTATGCATCCCATTCTGAGGCCTCTGAGACATGTCCATTTATTGTAAAAAAAGGCACTATACGTCTGCTAGCTATGTTGTTTTTCACGGGGTAAGTTTATTTGATCTGCTTTTTCATATATTCAATTTGTTCACTTATTATGCTACATGAATATTGTCGACTAAATCATTTTGATACTTAGAGACACCCAACCTGGATATCTTGGCCAGGCTCTGTTGACTGGACGCACTACTTGGTGGCAAAGCAGTGCTCTTGACCGACACCGTCCCACTGGGGTGGCTGGCATTGGGTGGATTTCCTACTGTAATAATGGTGACTGTCCCTTCCGTCTGACTGGACACTGACCGAATCTCCTTGGGTCTCTCTTTGACCACATCAGTGTGCATAGACAAGTTCTTGCTGGAGTGCAGGGTTGTTGAATCACTAGAGGTGTCCAGGTTTCTATTTGCAGCTGCTGCATGGCTGAAAATTGAATCCATGTAAAACCCTTGGGGAAAGGTCACTTTGCTTGTGTAAACCAAAACTGTGTTATTCTAAAAAAATACTTTTTTTCTTGCGTGAAGAAGAAAAAAACTTGAACAGTGATGAAAAGCACACTCTTAAAGCTGACATTAATTTTTAGCAATGCTTGATGTAAGACCACAAAAAATGAAGCAACCTGTGTACAGGTGTTATGTGTTGTTACATAGCTCTTAGACTTACAGCACACAGCTACATCAAATTCTGCTAATCCCTGTATAACTAAAAGAATATGGGTTTAAAGATGATGTGTCCATTTAATAGCTGCTGTAAGACCTCTAAAAAATCTTCACTCACTATTTCCGGACATCCTCTCTGATTTGCTGCACCATGAGACGAACCGCACTGGAGCTGGATGTGGACAGCTTAGAGATCTTATCCATGTTGTCAGACAGCAGACAGTGGTTGCCGAGCCCGAGTCCACGAATTTCTTGGAGGACAGATGGCAGGATGGACTTGTCCATTCCCCCAAGTTTGGAGATCAAATAGTCCATGGATTTCTTAGCTTGTTCCTAGGAAGAAAGAAATGGTGTAAATTAAATATCTTAATGACAAATTATAGCTGGATATTGAATAATGGGTGGGAATCATTAGATGAATGTACCAACATTTTAAAAGTAAAGATGATCTGAATTGATCTTGAACTTTGTTTTCAGTTGTCTGTGTATTTGTAAAAGTCACTTTTAATTTTTAAAAACGTGCTTATTGAAATCTGAAAAAATATCAAACTGCTTTTAGTGGCTATCAATCAATGATGCTATTTTGGCAGATTTTTTTACCCCCAACATCACCAATTTGTCTAAAAATTTAGACACCCTCATTATACATCTCCCAGGTGTGTGATGTCATTATAGATGGTCCCTTACCACTAGTTAAAGATTATAATAAATATTTAATTTTTTTATTTAATTTTTTTAAGAATGAAATTATGTGGATGATAATTCCAAGATATCCCATGACTCATCTCACTCAGAAGTGGCATTTACACAGTGGGGGTCTACACGGTGGGGGTCTACACAGTGGGGGGTCTACACAGTGGGGGAAAGGAAGCAGCTGCTTCCTATCTGCGTAGGGGAAATAACAATCCTTCCACCCTGCCTGCTTTCAAATTTATCCAGGTAACAAATTTTTTATGGCAAAGGAAAAAATACAAGTACTATATTTATAGGATTTTGGGGTAGGGGTGTGGAGTGGCGCCACCAGTTTTATCAGGTGAAAAAAATTCCAATTTTAATTGTCTGGGTTTGGATGGAAATTAACTCATTCCTCTAGTATTGAAGGACCCATTTTTTGGACAGCACAGCCATCAACCCAAAACATGAATCTTAAGAATTCAAACTGAAAAAGAAATTCTAGGCCTGCTAAAATTCATATTTGATCAATCACTGGATTTGATAATTTTATTTGATGAAAAATGTAAGGAAATACTGAGCTATTAGAGAAATTGTAATCGCTTGTTATCAATATCATTATTGAATTGTCAACAATTTTCGAACAAGTTTGTAACTGTAAATTTTATGATTACAATATTCATAATGATCTCCTTATTTAAATACCAATTAGGCAATACCATGACCCACAGAATAGGCCAAGTACAAGGTCTTGGGGGTAAAGGGATTGTTTCCCCCACTCGGAAGGGATCAGGGGGCATAGACGCTCTCGTCACTCAGTGTTCCTCAAATGTCCCCATGATTCACCTCACTCAGTGTTCCTCAAAGTCCCCATTACTCACCTCACTCAGTGTTCCTCAAATGTCCTCATGACTCACCTCACTCAGCGTTCCTCAAATGTCCCCATGACTCACCTCACTCAGTGTTCTTCAAATGTCCCCATGACTCACCTCACTCAGTGTTCCTCAAATGTCCCCATCACTCAGTGTTCCTCAAATGTCCCCATGACTCACCTCACTCAGTTTTCCTAAAATGTCCTCATGACTCACCTCACTCAGTGTTCCTAAAATATCCCCATGACTCACCTCACTCAGTGTTCCTCAAACGTCACCTCACTCAGTGTTCCTTAAATGTCCCCATGACTCACCTCATTCAGTGTTCCTTAAATGTCCCCATGACTCACCTCACTCAGTGTTCCTTCAATGTCCCCATGACTCACCTCATTCAGTGTTCCTTAAATGTCCCCATGACTCACCTCATTCAGTGTTCCTAAAATGTCCCCATGACTCACTTCATTCAGTGTTCCTCAAATGTCCCCATGACTCACCTCACTTAGTGTTTCTCAAATGTCCCCATGACTCACTTCATTCAGTGTTCTTCAAATGTCCCCATGACTCACCTCACTCAGTGTTCCTCAAATGTCCCCATCACTCAGTGTTCCCCAAATGTCACCGTGACTCACCTCACTTAGTGTTCCCACCGCCCCGGTGATCTGAGCCATCTGAAACATCAGCACGGGCTGATTCTCCACCATGGCCTGTATGACAGACAAATGGCTCACAACTGTCCCTGGCTGGGCCATGGCCATGTCCACCAACGTCATCATGACTATAGATGACAGGAAGGAAGATGAGAGGTAGTTGCACAGCATAGGGATATGCTTCTCCAACAGCTGCAGGAGGCAATGAACAGAAATTAAGCTTTGCTTAGAACACGGGACATAAACTTTGACTACACTGAGATTGGTATGTTTCTCATATTAAGGCCATTGTCATGCGCCAAAACATTACAGTTATAGAAAATTAATAAATATATATATACTATTGCTAACTCACAACTCAAATGATTTTTAGGAATACTGTTGATAAAGATATTAATAATGCTATTTATTGCTGCTACTTAGTTCGGTTTAATATCTTTTAGCATTAAAAAAATAATTTTTTTGCACAAATTAGATTTTCATAAATAATATGCAGATTTCTATAAAAAAGAAATTAACTAATTTATCCATCCGAACAGCAATTATGTAAAGTCTCTAAAGTTCAGTTGGGCTAAAAAAATTTGAAGAATTACAAATACTGCCAATGATATTTAAAACTAGTTTTTCAGTTTGAGACAAATAAAATAAAGTGAATGTTATAATGTTACCCATTAAAAATGAATTCATTACAAAGAAGTTAAAAAGCATAAGTTTTAAGTTGTCGGAAATTAACAAAATCTAAAATGTTTAATCAATTTAAATGCTTTTTTCAAATGATTTCATAAAAATCTTTCAATACTTAAATGTCCCCTTAAAACTCTTTTACCACTTGACTGTCTGCTAGAAAATTTGAGGCTGTGGACTTCTATGTTTAGAGAGTTCCAGTTGTGCAGCATTTACCTGTGGCTGAGATTTGGCCACTTTGTTAAAGAGTTGAATCAGGCAGACTTTCTCTGTAGAGTCACACTTGCTCATCAGGGTAGCCAGCTCATCTACCTTCTGGAGGACGGGCTGGGGGTTGTGCTCATAGATTTGTGGCAACACCTGACCGAGTAAGTAGTTACCTGAACCACAATACAGCATGCTATAGAAATTATTAGTCATAAAAAATTGATGGTGCTCATGATAGCATAAAGCAGTGGCGCTGAATTTCTTCAAATGGTTGATACATCACTTTGATACAAATATTTCATAACAGAGACCCCCATATCACCATTTAAATAAATCATGGGGAGAAAGAGTCAAAGAGATACCAAGAGAAGCATGTTAATAGTACAAGAATAGGAACTGTACCAGTTTTTAGGAGCACTACAAAAAGGATCATACAGAGTTTTGATAGGGTCATACAGAGTTTTGATAAGGTCATACAGAGTTTTGATAAGGTCATACAGAGTTTTGATAAGGTCATACAGAGTTTTGATAAGGTCATACAGAGTTTTGATAGGGTCATACAGAGTTTTGATAAGGTCATACAGAGTTTTGATAAGGTCATACAGAGTTTTGATAGGATCATACAGATTTTTGTTAAGGTCATACAGAGTTTTGTTAAGGTCATACAGAGTTTTGATAGGATCATACAGAGTTTTGATAGGATCATACAGATTTTTGTTAAGGTCATACAGAGTTTTGATAAGGTCATACAGAGTTTTGATAGGATCATACAGAGTTTTGATAAGGTCATACAGAGTTTTGATAAGGTCATACAGAGTTTTGATAGGATCATACAGAGTTTTGATAGGATCATACAGATTTTTGTTAAGGTCATACAGAGTTTTGATAAGGTCATACAGAGTTTTGATAGGATCATACAGATTGTTGTTAAGGTCATACAGAGTTTTGTTAAGGTCATACAGAGTTTTGATAGGATCATACAGAGTTTTGATAGGATCATACAGATTTTTGTTAAGGTCATACAGAGTTTTGATAAGGTCATACAGAGTTTTGATAGGATCATACAGAGTTTTGATAAGGTCATACAGAGTTTTGATAAGGTCATACAGAGTTTTGATAGGATCATACAGAGTTTTGATAGGATCATACAGATTTTTGTTAAGGTCATACAGAGTTTTGAGGAATATTGACAGATTTAAAAGCAAGTAAATATTGTAACTTAAACAAAGAAAAAAAAGTCATATTTTATTTTGTTTATATCTTATGCCAAATCCAAGCATCTGCAAACCATTTTATGATTACCAATATTCATAATGATCTCCTTATTCAAATACCCATTAGGCAATACCATGACCCACAGAATAGGCCAAGTACAAGGTCTTGGATTTAGGGGATTGGCTCCCCCACTCGGAATGGATCAGGGGGCATAGACGCCCTCGTCACTCAGTGTTCCTCAAATGGTTGGACAGAGAAAAATGGGTCAAATGTTCACTATTTGTATCAAATTTAATGAAAGGTCAAAATAGATTAGATATTAAGTCCTGCTTTCCCTAACCCCTGCTCTGGTATTACTTCTTTAAAAAAATAATAGACTGGCCGTTAAGCATGAGTATACTTTTTTAAAATTAAAGTCTTCTTATTTTTGTAACCAACCTTTGAGAACACTGCAAATGACAAGCAGCATGTGCTGTGCCAGCAAACTGGCATTGTCGATGGTTGCTAGGGACAGGTAACTGGCAACGTTTCGAACCAAGTCTTTGTTATCACATTCCAGGAACTTAACGGCAGCTGGGATGGCCAGGGTCATCACTTTACTGTTAGTGTAGTACTGGTGAAGACAAAAAATTGTTAATTTTAACTGAATGTATTCAACATAAGGTGTGATGAGAATATTAATTATTACAATCACAACATTCAAATAAATAATTCATTCAAATAAATAATTGTCAAATAATGAGGTTTGATTTAAATAATACCAGAGTAAGAATTTATGTAACATTAATGGAGAAATGTGTTCAAGTTAACCACAAGTTGATACATATATATTTAGATATTTCACAAATGAACACTCAATTTTTAATATAGCTACTTTAAATTAATTTTTAAAATGAATTTAAGAATTGACATGCTTCAGTAAAAGTTAAGAGTTACGGTGAAAATATTTTCTAAACAAATCTTTCAATATTGCAGCATTCCACAATTATAAACTCATTCATTGATAACATGATGCCTCAAAATATGCTTACTGTAAATAATCGACTCATCACATCAGAGGCTATTTTGGCATGTGGTGGGTCCACGTCTTTTGACTTTTGCATGAGGTTATGATGAAGACACATGGTAAGAAGGCTCACTAGCGATTCAGCATGTTTTTCAACTCTTCCCGTCTCCCTGGGATAACAGATATTAATTTGGAATTAACAATTTATGCAGATTGGACACTTGATGAACCAGATAATTATGAATAAGGTTGTTTTTTATATCGATATAATGAAAAAATATATTAAGATTTGCAGGTTCTTAGGATTAATAAAGGAACAGCTTAGTAGATATCCTTTATGAAAAAAGGGAATAAAAGCTGTCAAGTATGGGAGTTCATTAATAATTGTTACTGGATATTATGTTTGATTACGTGCATTACGTTTTTGAGAGATTAATTAGTTAATGAACACTCTTCCCACGCTTGACTTGGTGACATATTTTTATGCTTTTTATGATGTATTGAACTTTGTGAAAGGAGGTTGTGTTTTATTTCTCTCTGATAGCGAGTTGCGCTATACATGTGTATATGGAATTAACAGTCTGTGAATTTACATCATATATTAAAGTTGTATTTATTATGATAAAGGACTTAAGTTGATTCAGTGCTAAAACGACGCATTACAACATGTGAAAGAACTTGACCAAGTAACCAATCTAGTATACACAGGGGTTTGACAAATCCATGGGCTCATAGGGTCTAATCATGAGATGTCATAACAGTTAGGTATAGTTGAAAATTATAATGTATTTTTAGCGTTTTTCAACATGTAAAATTTATTTTGGATACATTAACTTGTATCCAGACAATTATTTCTCACATTTATAACACCTGACACTAAGTAGGCAATTAACATGTGGATTAGCAGCAATAAATAATTAGTCAAAAGTTAACAGCATCTCTGACCATCATGCATTTAGGGTGGAAGCAGAAGAATTGGAAAGAAATTGTTAATGGCCTACACTCCAATGGGAGTTGAAAGAAGAAGAAGAATGTGAGGCAGACTACTGTCTCTAAAAAGAACTCAACCAATCTATCGTTGTTAGTGATCATATACTAAATTTCAGAAAAGATAGCAAACTAAAGATGTCTATTTTTTCAAACCTTATTGCAGCCGTTATCCTGGTGATACAGATTTCCACAACACTTTGGTCATTGTCACTGTTCTCATATTCATCCGAGTCTGCAATCTGCTTGATGTGGCGTATTATTTCTTCAAGGTCTCTTTCTATCACATCATCCTCAAGTGAGAAGAGTTCCCCTGCTTTGGAAAGATCTTTTTTGGCCAAGACCTTGGCAAACAGTTCATGCATTTTGCTCTTCTAAAAGCTGAAGAAACATAAATAAGCAGTTAATAACAAAATTAAGGAGAGATTGACTACCTAAAAGATGTTTTTAAAAAGCACTGACAAACTGAATGTACAAAGCTGAGAGCAGATGAAAGTTTTACAGAAAAAAACACATTATTATACTTGTGGTCTTTAAACAAACATTGATATTAAAATAGTAATCAACATGTTAGGGGCTTTTCATATCTGACGTTGGAGTATTTTGGCCAATTGTTTTACCCCTCACCCTCCCCTATCATCACAAAATTTATACATCATCATAACACATCATCCCCATATTGTGAAATTAATGTCCTTCCCTGAGCTGGTGCAAATTGTAATCTTTATTAACAGTTAATATAACATTGTCTTTAAAATATTGATAAAATAATTATACTTCTTTATTTATTTTATAATAATTCATCAATTAATATAATTATTATTATTATAGAAACAGAATTTTATTACGTCTGCTGTTTAAGATGTAAGTAACACCCCTGCCTATTTGTTGAAAAGATACAAAAAGAACGGAATATATTTGTGTTTTAATATCTAATTTAGACATTTAGATTATATTTAGCCTACACTTACATTACTTTTTTTTTTTTTTGGTGTTTTTGTAAATCCATTTCTCCTTTTTAATCAATATATTCATATGGATTAAGAATTATGGTCCACTTAATGCCCCCCCCCCCCATACACACTCCACTATAATTTGTCCAGATTTTAATTTTTATTTAAAAAATGAATATTGAAGCATTATTTTTAGACTACGCAATAATAATTTTGAAATTTAAATGATATGTTACTAAACATTTTTAATTAAGAACCAAAACTTATCTACTGAGACTACTGACAGTGACTACTCTTCTTACCCTTACTCTTACACTAACAGTAAGAGTAAGAGATATGACATGTCACTGTCACATGTGGACATGACTTAATTATTTTTGTTTTTGAATTATAATTATTAAACAATTTACTCTTTACTGTCCTCTACAATAAACAGTGGAATCAGTAGGCCAGTATGTGGTAGAAAGAAAGCATATTAATATTATTTTAATTAATATTATTTTCATCAAAATCTAAGAGATGTGACGATATATAATTTAATATAAAATATTTTACCGTTATTTCTTTGATAAAAATCAGAACAAATGAAGTAATGATTAATCATCATTCAGATATTCATTGCAGTTTTATATAGGACCATGTCTGAAATCACCATCCACTTGTTTCTTGTCTACCAAGCAGTTGAAACACAAGAAGACAAGTTCAGAAAATTAGCGAAAACGTCGTCAGATGAGTGTCACACAGCTTCGGCTTCACAAATCAGAAATAAAAATATAAAATAAGTATGATAATAAAGATGGTAAATAGTAAATACTTAAATTTCAAATTAAGATTAAAATAAAGTTCTTAGATTACTTAAATAATCAAGTAAAACATTTTTATCCCTGAATGTTAAACTACTAGACCAATGTTTGTCAAAAGAATAACAAATATTAAACAGCGAAAATATAAATAGTTTCAGATGACCCGGAAGCTAAACTCTTAATTGTGAAAATGGCTGACCACGTAAACACATTGGTGAAGTATTTTCAAAATGGCATAGAAAATAATGATCCTACAATCTGGGGGATCATTGTGGCGCTTATAGTTGGACTGATCTCATTAGGTACATTCGATGTAATCCTTACAATTTAAAAAAAATTAACAGACATTGAAAAGAGTACATAGAAATTCTAGCAGATGTTTTCGTCATTCTCATTCAGTCATTTAATTATTATTTTTATCATCAAAAGTTAGATACTTTGGTCAAAAATGTAAACATTTTTTAAAAATAAACCAATGGCACAGTTAAATAGTGCTAATTTTAAACAGAATTATAACACCAAAATCATATTTTTAGCTGTTGTAGTTTTAAAGTTATGAATTTTCAAAGTACGACTTGGTTTGTCATTTTTTAACATGGACTGCATCTCCACATTCTGTGACCTCATTCCACTGATCGCGTCATGCGCAATGACTATATAGTTTATATAAGGCAACGCATTCCCTATCGCTAAAATACTGTTTAGGGTCGACTTATTTTAAACTTTCAACTTTGGCACATGAATAATTAATAAAAGCTTTCCCTGACCAATGGTTTAATAGCTTTTGCACACGGCAAACTCTTATGAATGAAACTCTGAGATAGTACTACGACGTAGCCGTTATGCAAGTGGCTGTGAATGGTTGCCAATGACAACGTGTTGCACAGGGAAAATTCTGATCATTTATAATATGGACTCTGCAGGGTTTTTAAAGCTCAAATTAAAACATTTCCAGTTTAAATGTCTTCAAAATGCATTCTGAAACACAAAATATAAAATATTTTGATGTATATAGTGGTAATAATTAAATATTTCCTAAGTATCGGCAACTTCCGCCATTAAAAAGGGGGCGTGGCCCACGCCATGTCGAAATTAGGCTGAGCCACCTTATGGTGATATGGGTCACTGTGACAAGTGTAACAAACGTGAGACACGACCTACATCAATGAAACTTGGCACAGATATAGATCAATATCTAATGCTCATACAGATTTAATAAAAAAGGACCTTATCTTATTATTTCACAAAAAATTTTGTATGCGAAGATGCCTTATATATACCAAAGATTTTCAAAATAAAGGTCGATTGAAAAAAGCAAAATAGCTGGCTAGAAATGTAGGCCAAGATGTCTTCCAAATTATAAGGCCGGAAACGGAACTCAAATATATGTGGAAAGAACTAATTTAATAATAAATAGACACACACATCGGAAAATTAAAAACTCGGATTTTTTGGCGCCGACGCCCCATTTCCGATAAAAAAAAAATAGTAGTCTCCCTTGTTTCATCGAAGTATCTATCAAAAGTTCAATTCAATTGTAATTGACAAGTCACAATTCAATTGATACAATACGGCAACAGTTTACTAGGAGCCTCAGTAAAGAAAGGGACACTACTAAAATTTTGTTTGGTCGTCTGTGCAGGAAAGTCTTATTGACACCTCTGCTGTCATGGCAACAAAGATGTCATGTCTTTTTGTTGTGTTCATATTAATCCTTTCATTATCGCTGGTTTTGGGCATGGATTTTTGCTGACTCAGCAATTAAAAATCTTTAAGTTAAGATGAAACTTCTGTGCAACATGTTGTTATTTCCATACAAACTCTTATTGGAAGTCAAAATTCGATCTTCATTCGCCTATACCAATCACTTATTTGTCAATAATATGAAAACATTTACTTACCAATCCTGCACCTTCTCTTTGAACTTTAGACACGTGGTGTGAGGGATTTGCACATGTCATAAATTATTGATATGTCTTGCTTTAACTACGACGTAGAAACTAAGAAAAACGATTTTAAAAAAATTGAAAATGAAATTCCGGGATTATCGAAAATCCCGGTTTTCATAAATCTAATCCCGGTATTTTCGAGCATCAATTATGGTCTGGCTTACCGGTATTTTCGAATTTCGGGATCCCGGATTGCAACCCCTAATTGTAGGTACTTCGATAAAGCAAGGGAGACTACTAAAAAGTTTGTATGGGAAATGGGCGTCGGCGCGCAAAAAAATGAGTTTTTAATTTTTTGATGTTGGTACTATTTCATTCATAAAATAATTACTATGGTATATCCCAGAATTGTGTTCCTCTTCCGGCCAATCAGTCACAGTCAGCTTTGAGAAAATCCTTGGTGAATATAAGGCAACTTTCATCATTAAAATTAACTCGAAGAAAAAGATATGTCACTACCAAATTTTTTATGCACCTTGGGCATGTATTGATCTACATGTATGCCAAATTTCACAGCGCTATGTGTTATGAGAGGGACGCCATGTTTCTGCGGGTTCGCAGCATGTCATGCAGTTTGCTTAACCCAATTTCGATGGATGTGACCACGCCCCCTTTTTAATGGCGGAAGATGTCGATACTTAGGAAATATTAAATTATTACACTATTTACATAAAAATATTTGATAACTTGTTTTTCAGAATGCATTTGAAGACATTTAAACTGGAATGTTTTAATCTGAGCTTTAAAAACCCAGTCGAGTCCATATTATAAATGATCAGAATTTTCCTTATGCAAAACGTTGTCTTTGGCAACCATTCACAGCCACTTGCATAATGGCTATATCATTGTACTACCTCAGAGTTTCCTTCATAAGAGTTTGCCGTGTGCAAAAACTATTAAACCATTGGTCAAGTAAAGCTTTAATTAATTATTCATGTGCCAAAGTTGAAAGTTTAAAATAAGTCGATCCTAAACAGTATTTTAGTAATAAGGTGATGCGGTGCCTTATATAAACTATATAGTCACTGCGCATGACGCGATCAGCAGAATGAGGTCACGAGATGTGGAGGTTTCAGTACTTCTCAGAACAGCGGTCCCAAATTAAAATAAAATGTTTCTCGAAAAATAAATTTTAAAATTCATTTTTACCTCATGGAACTTCATTAAAATTGTTTTTGAAAGTAAAATAAAATCTTTTTGTTGTAAAACAACAATTTAACAAATTTTAAAAAATCAATAACCTTAAATTTTAATGAATCTTTTATCTTTTACTGTGACATTGTGGTACATTGAGGAGAACTTTACTGTATTTTTATTATTATCAAAAAAAATTAAAAAATTATTTTGAATTTTTTATTATTTTTATTATTAACTTCTCTATAGATTAACGAATAAAGAAATATATAACATTGAAATATGATGTCGATGTGACGACCTTGGTATTTCAGAAAAGTTCTTTGCATCTTTGCTATGAAGACAATGTGACGTCCATCGTGACGTCGTGTCGACGTCATCGTCGACGTCATCGGTAACAAAAAGGTTAACTAGTTTACTACGGAAATAATGCTCAGTGAAGAACTGGAAAATTATGTTTATGCATGTGAGCAGTATGTTATGTAGGCTGGTTGAGTTGGCCTAACTTCGCCTGGATGTGACCACACCACCTTTTTAATGGCGAAGATGCTGATAGGAAATATTCAACTATTACCAGTACCACTATACTATACATATCAAAATAATTGATAACTTGTGTTTTAGAAAAAACTTAGAAGACATTTAAACAATACTACTTTAATTTGAGGTTTAAAACCTTGGTAGAGTCTATATTATAAATCTGGTCTAAAATAAATATCATAATTTACTGTGTGCAACCATTCAGTTACTGAACTGGCATATGAATATACTATACTGGTATAGTTTCATTCTTTAAGAGATTGCAGTGTGCAAACACTATTAAACTTAAACCATTTGTCAGGGGAAGCTATAATTGATTATTCATGTACAAAATTCAAAATAAGTAGTCCCTAACCAGTATTATTTTGTAGTTAGACTCATATATATATAATGAACGCCTTAGGCTTGGTAATCAGAACAGTCAAAGCTTTCATATTTGATTTACTGATAATGACTTATTTTGCATAGTACATAGCTAGATAGCTAAGAAAGGTTGCAATTTTATAAAATTGCATATTATTACTTGAAAAAATTATGACTTTTAAAATAGTTTTAATCCTGAAAATAGTAGTACTAGTACAAAATTATCTTTAAAACAAGAGCTATAGCACATGGCCCGATCAGTGAAATTGTGTCACAACATGTGGAGGTGCAGTCGAAAGTAAAAAATTACAAACATACTTACTCTTTAAAAATTCAGAGCTAAAAAGAATACTAAAAGTAGAAAGTAGATTCTGGTTTTATTTTTTTTATTTGAAGTTTGCTTTAAACAACTTGTTATATTTGTAAAAAAATAAATACCCTACGTTAACAAATAACTACATTTTGACATAATTATTTACTAACAGCGAAAGTATAGTAAAGGCCCTTAATAGAGACTGACACGTTCATTTAAAGAGCAGCAATTAATAGGCGTTTTATTATGTTATATTAATAATAATAATAATAATAAAGCTTATTTGAAAATAACAAAATATGTCTGCATCACATTTTGCCTATTTGATGGAAGAACAAATTGCCTAACACATAGGTTTTGGAACATGCCAAAATGTGTAGCATGCTATCCGCTCTTCGTAAGATGCGCCTTCTCTGGTTATGCCATGTATGGAGAATGGCCGTATTCAAAAGGATCTGCTGTATGGAGAGTTGGGAGTGGCAAGACTTATTGGACATTTGCAAAAGGAACATGAGGGAAGCCAACATAGAAATCAATGACTGGGAGATCATTGATGAGCATCGTTACCGCTGAATGGCAGCAATGTATTAAGGATTTCAACAAGCAGAAGATGCATGAAATAAAGCCCTTGCAACAAAAAGAGAATTACGGAAGGCCAAATTTAACCAGAAGTCAAGGTCTTCAATGCGAGAAGTGCTGCGGAGACTGCCACTCCATGTTTAAATATTTATCACATTAAAATCATTAAAAGATTGCTGCATTCTGTCATCTTCATGAGAAGATGGTGAAGATCATGGGTTGGCATCTTGTCTAAAATCTCGTAAGAGAACCTAAACTGCTGGGCGGTTTCCATATTGCAATTTTTGCTACAGGATTTTTGTTTCTCGTACTTGCTGTCTGTTGGATTCCCATATTCACTGCTGTGGGTTAGCCAGAACTATGATCAGAGATACCGTCCTATTCACCATGTTAGTTGTTGGCTTCCCTCATGTTTCTTTTACACACATTTTTAAAGCTCAGCCTTCAAATAAATTTGGTGGTCCCCTGTGACTGCTCGGAACAATAATGTCATTTAACAAAACAAGCACATCAATACCAGATCTGATTGCGAACTGTTTAATATTGTCCGTCATTATGCAAAGGCAAGGGTAAAAAGGTGCTAATTTGTGACCTACTGTTCACTGATCATGCTGCATTAGCAGATTGCCTACTCCATGCCTTTATGGAGTTTTGACTGATCATCAGTCTAATGAAAAAAATGTCATAGCACAGAAAGGGTGTCCTCTCCAAACATAACTATTGAGGGAAATAATCTGACAGTTGTTTAAAACTTCACATACCTCTAGCTCACTCTCCATTGATGAAGAGGTCAACATCGGGATAGCAGAAGCAGCTGTGGCCAGATGAAAGAAGAGGGTGTGGCTTATGAATTCTAAACTCACTGAAATCACAGAACTAAGTGTCTGTCCAGCATGTGTGTTCAATAGGCTCCTCTATGGCAGTGAAGTGGGGATCACATATGCCACTCAAATTGTGCAGCATGTTCTCTAATCTTAATAAGAGGTGTCTAGAAATTAGAAAGAGAATGGACAAAGACTGTATTCCAGAGAACCTGCTGTACTGAGAATTTACAGGGGGGGGGGGGGGCATCTTAATAAGAGGTGTCTAGAAATTAGAAAGAGAATGGACAAAGACTGTATTCCAGAGAACCTGCTGTACTGAGAATTTACAGGGGGGGGGGGGCATATTGGACTTAATAGATATGTGCTCATTGATGTTACAAATGCAGGCCCACTCTATAGCCACTTAAGAATGCTAAAAACATGTCATTGCTCTGTAAGTGTATGGGTTTTATCTCACCATATTGACCATATTTTTTCCTCCAGTTCTGCTGGTTGTTAAAGGAAGTGGCAAAAACAAAAGACAGGGTGTTTTACTGTTGGGAATTCGTGAGTCTGGCAAGACATTGATCTATCTGCAAGTAAGAACTGACATTTCTTACCCAATTCTAAATTATTTTTTTTTTAAACTATGTTACCATAATGAACTTTAAATTTTTTTAAAATAAATTATAATTACAAAAATTGAACTTTTTTTGCTGTTTCCAAGTCATTTAATGTAATTTTTATAAAATTGTTTGCAATCGTTAAATGAAATACATGTAAGATAATGGATTCCAAAATAGTATTTGCATCAATATTTGACTTTTTAAAGTGTACTTGATTTTAATTATTTTTTTGTTCTAGTTACAATGTGTATTTAGTGTATTTGTATTTGCAGCTTGCATACAAGACATTCAAACAGACATATACATCTATGAAGGTCAACTCTGGAGAATACTTAGTACCAGAAAAAAATGTAAGGTTGGACTTTTAGCATAACAGTTTCAGTTGATTTAGTTTCCTTCATAAGAGATAACCGTGTCCAAACACTATTAAACTTAAAACGTTGTTCAGGGTTAGCTTTAATTAATTAATCATGTATAAAAACATTAGATTGTTTCACTAAGTGCAATTGAATGTAATCACACGTTTGTTTTAGAATGTAAATCAACTTGTTTTCAATGTAATTACATCAGAAAAAACTGAGAATCATTGACCTGCCAGGACATGAAAGGTTGCGATTACAGTTACTGGAGGAATATAAAAATCTGGCCAGGTAATTTTATCTTCAGTATCCAAGTTTTGTTTAGTGTTTGGCAAGAGAAGTGGGAGTGGAAATGAGAGTTCTTATAAATTCATTAACTTTTTTACGATTGTAAATTTACGATGCTTCATGTAAAACCTAAGCGATCGCAAAGCTGTCTTTTGTTAACATTGATATTTTCTCCATTAAATAGAATTTAGAGAATGTATTATATTATTTTTTATTTTTCACAGGGGAATAGTCTATGTGGTGGATAGTGCGACTCTTCAGAAGGACATCAAGGAAGTCGCTGAGTGAGTATTTAAATTATGGCAATAAAATTTCACCCAAATTTAAATGGCTTTATATAAATAGCCACAGTCAGTATTTGAAGTAAATAGCCATAGTCAGTGTTTGAAGTAAATAGTCACAGTCAGTGTTTGAAGTAAATAGTCACAGTCAATGTTTGGAGTAAATAGTCACAGTCAGTGTTTGAAGTAAATAGTCACAGTCAATGTTTTGAGTACGGTAAATTATCACTACACACTACAGTTGTTGAACTGTCTGGCCAATATTTGTAAAACATTTTATTCCTCAGTCTCATAGATACAGTACATTTTAATCTATCTGTAGTTTGTGAGATCTTTCATTTACAAAATTACCACTTTGAAGCCTACATTAAATATTTTGCACTTTTTTTTTCACAAAGAATGGTGAGGACAAAACAAACAATGAAATAACCATAATTAATGTTGTAAAATTAATAGTCTAAGATTTCATCACTTTAAAAGCAAGGCTCATGGGGGGGGGGGGGGGGGGTTTAAATAAAGTAATCAGTTTAAATTTAACGTCTTGGTCAATATTTAACTTGCTGATTTGACATTGTAATGAAAGCCTATCTCAATATTGTTTCACTATTTCCTTCACACAGCTTGAACACAGTCCCTCACATACTCTGCTTGAAGTTGTTAACATATTAATATCTTCATTCTTCAGGTGTTTTTTGTTTTTTTTAAAATTAATCCAACTGTTTATCCTGTTAAATCCTGCTTAAAATACTATAATGAATGCTTAATTAAAGGTATTTTTTATATATGCTGTTCATAGTCATCTTTAGTATTGTGCCTAACGTTATGAAACTTTCCTCTAATTTATTTCAATAAAATTGTGTTAATTATTATTCAGTCCTATTGCTCAGTGTAGAAACCGCAGTTTCCATGTTGCTTGTTGAGAATTTACCATGTAATATAAATAAATGAATTTTATATCTAGATCAGTGGTTCTCAACCTTCCTAATGCCGCCACCCTTGAATACAGTTCCTTATGTTGTGGCGACCCCCAACCACAAAATTATTTTCATTGCTACATTTGAGTATATTTGTTTTCCGAAGGTCTTAGGCAACCCCTGTAAAAGGGTCGTTCGGCCCCCAAAGGGGATGCGACCCACAGGTTGAGAACCGCTGATCTAGATGATAATAATGACTTGTGTTAAAAGTTAAAGTGTAATTGTAACAAATATTTCATTGCAGATATCTGTATACAATACTTAGTGACAGAGTGATCTCCAATAATGTTCCACCTGTACTTATATTGTGCAACAAGCAAGACCTCACCTTGGCTAAGGGTGTCAAGGTGATTCGCAGTCAGCTGGAGAAAGAAATGTAAATGTTCACTTTTTTTTTCTTGCACCTCATATTAGCTTTAAAATACTTTTTAAATGTTTTCAGCTCAAATGTGTAAGATATGAATAATATGAAGCAGTCTATGCTGTTTTCTTTTCAGTGTGGAGACTTTAAAAGGCTCAGTACAAAACTTAGACATATTTATATCCACATAGCACAACAGAGTTTAAAAAAAAATCTATCCATGTGACATTCTTCCTCCTCCGCCTCCTCTCCCCCCACCACCCTATGGTGCAAAATAAGGTTATAAAAATGGTAAACACAATAACTTTGTACATTGGGACTAAAATGATCTCCCTTCGTTAATTTATATGCAGGATCTGTATTACTACAGTTAGCACAATTAACTGAGGAATTACATCTAAATACATCTAAATTGCTATAAAATTCATCCACTGATTTTATTTTAAATAAAATTGCTGTTTTAAACACTGTAAAAAAAACTGAAGTTTTGAAAAATATTTGTTTGACTTTTTAGCAAGCTAATTTGATTTAAAAGTTGAGATCTATCCATTTATGAATGAAGTAAACAAGCTAGGACTTGCGCACATCGAAAGGGAGATTATTTATGACTTTTTCTTGTACCTATGTTATGTGGATGCCGTTTGGTGTCTTGTCAATACAAAGTGTCAAAGGGAGCTTTGCCAAGCAGCTGTTTCCTTCCAGGCACTATTACATAAATATTTTTGGTAACACGCAATCCTTTCTGAAATCTTCACACCCCAGTGGGTTCAAGTGGTTATATTAAAGCTTGCAGGTTTTCTTTGTGCTTGCATACCGGTACACATAATCATCAGCCATTGTGGGGTCAGTTGTAAATGGGTCGGTACAATGGTGCATAATTAGGCTGAAAAGTTTCTTTATGGCATTGTTAGTTTTACTTTAAAAAAAAACAAATTAGTCGCACTGTTCAGTGATTCTCCATAATTTATTTTTTAAAAATCTAAATGCAGGAACACTTTAAGGATTACTCAGGCTGCTGCTCTGAAAGGTGTCGGTGACACTGGCAACAACAACTCTTTTCTAGGGAAAAGAGACAAAGATTTTAACTTTGCAGATATCAAGCCATTCAAGATTGATTTTGCAGAGTGTAGTGCCCTTGGCAAGGACAAAAACTCTGGCCGTCCTGACTTAGATGAACTTCAAGATTGGTTGGGAAAAGTTGCATAAATGCTCTACATGAAGTATAGGAAAGAAAGAATTTAGGAATGAAAGGGGGAAATGGAAGTGCATGTTATTATTAATAAGTCAATTCAGTTATTTTGGTTAAAGGAGTTTTGCTAATACACTTTAAGTGTCCAAAAAAAATTTTTTTAAGGGCATTAATTTATTTGTTCTCCAAAGCGCTGTTTAAAAAATTCAGACACCCCAAAACAATTTTAAGATATAATTTTGATAATACATAAAAAGGTAGTGTGTCATGGCTCTTAAAGATATTCTTAGACTGATTTACTATTTATTTCTTATTTTGGTTGCATTTTTTTTTAAAGCGAATTAAGTGACTGCCTACAACTATTACAAGAATTAGAGGAGAAATAATAACTGATATTGTTCACAGTTTGAGTGCCATCTCATTGTGCAAATGGGAGGAATGCATCTCCACGCTGTACAATAAACATAATATACCTTATAGTTCACCAACAGTGTAAAAGTTCCATTCCGTTAATTTGAGAATACGGCTTACACACATCGTCCATCAGGTTTTTCTCTATCTTGTGTTTATTTCTTATTCAATTGCTTTCTCCTTCCTCATTCCTGCTCGTATTTCTCTTACACATAAAGGTTTATTAAGTTTAAAGTAATATTTTGACATGTCCTAATTCATTGCGTTAAGATATTTTATTTCACCTAAGTTTGTAGTTCTTCATTTTGTTTTATTGTATTGACAAAGGCTGACACTTGCAAATTATTTTATTTCCAAATGTTCCTTTATATAATAATAGAACTGTCTGTGTTAATTTCTTTGGAACTGACTTAAAAGCTTCAGAAGAATCTTTAAGCTACAATTATGTATTCCACAAGAAAATATAACACCACACTGTTTGGTCATCTGATAAGTTTTTAATGCAGTTATTTCTAGTACTAGATTTGTAAACTATGTTGTTGGGTTTTTTTTTTTATTTAAAAAATAAAAGAGCCATTTCAGTGCAGAAGTTGACTTTGTTTAATATTTAAATAATTAGTTGACAATTGCCAGATGAAAATGTTGAGTGTGTTATTGTAAGGGTAATTGTTATAGCATCTGAACTCTAATCCGAAGCTGCTGCTATAAACATACAGATACAACATACTTTTCTATTATAATAATTAATGTCATATTTATTAAATTTTAAATCAAGCATTTCAAATATTACCTTTTAAATTTGGCCTAAATTTTTTTTTTTAAATGTGTCAAATGTTTTCTCATTTGATTATATGTGGGGCACAACTGTTGTACAAACAAGGCCCTTGACAATTTTTGTTTGAGGCATATTTGTAATATGACCACCACTGGACTGCTCTGGTATGTATGTGTTGCTTCTAAAAGTAAGAAAATGAATATGTCAATTTAAAAGAAAACAAGAAATTAAATGAAAGAGGTGATGGTTAAAGCTAGTGTTATTTCTTTTTTTATTTTTTTGGTTTTAATCTGATAATAAAACTTTGTGTTACCAATACTAATACTGAGATATCTCTGAATGTCCTTGGTGGGCAGTCTTTTTTATAATAACGGCAAAAAAAAAAAAAAAAAAAAAAAAAAAAAAAAAAAAAAAAAAAAAACAAAAAAAAAAATATAATAAAAAAAAAAAAAATTTTTTTAAAAAAAAGAAAAAAAAAAAAAAAAAAAACAGTACATATATAATTCATGAAATACTACCACTAAATAAAATTTAATGTAAAAATAAAAAATTTACACTCTCTCTTGTTTATAATATTACTGAAGGTAATATTTTGGTAAAAACTTGAATGGAAAAACAGGACAAACGAAAAAAAACAGTGTGAAGGTTAGACTTCATCAGCAGACAAAACAACAAGAAACAAAAGAGGATACATTTCTTTTTTTATAAAAAAGCTGAAGATATACCAAGATCTGGAAAGCAAATCAATATTTGTTATGCACTTTCCTTGTCCAGTTTTATCTATTACATCCTCCATTGGAAGAAAAGTCTGACCTAATTTGAGTTTCCTAAAAAATCGTTACAAAACCTGAAGGTGCGCTCTTGGACAAAGGATGGGGGAGGGGGGGGGGGGGGGGGGAACTCCTAGCCTAATGCTTTTGCCAGATTCAATGATAATGATATCATTTAAGGGCAATAACTGTATTTCTTTTCCAAAAAAATGATGCGGTCTCAGAGATCACCCTGCAGGGATCCTTGTATTAAAATTAAAGGGTAGAGCATGATGGATCACCAATGTTATGGGTGATCGTTTGTCTCACCAGGGAGATCAGGGGAAAGAATTAAACGTTCATTGATAAAGTGAGTTATGCTTACATCTGATCATCTTTAAGAGGAGATAACTTATCAGCGGAATAGGATAATACTTGAGAGTTAAGCAGTTACGAGGGGTAGTCTTTATTATTGGTTCATCAACCTCCTCTGAGGATTACCTACTGAGTGTACAACATTAGATTAACTAAGGAAATAATATTCAAGGGGTTGACATCACACGCTCGTTAACGCTTTTGTCTGTCAAAGATGTTGATGCTAACTACCGGTACTAACATTATTCAGGGCACTGTTTTTTGAATTATCAGTAAAAGGTTCTCAATATTTGTGTTGACAACAAATGTTTGAGAATGGCCAACAGTACTAGTCTAACACTTTCTCTCCTAGATAAAAATCTGGAAAGTTCACCGTTCATCAGTTATTTAGGCATTCTGTTGTCTGGAATTCTCGCAACTTGTCCTGTCCGTCCTTTCTGTAAGAACGGAGGGACGCCCACAAAGCTGATATTACTTACCCTTTAAAAAAAAAAAAATATATATATATATATCAGAACCACTGAACGCATATCCAAGTCTTTACCTGCGTAAAATATCGCAAAATGCACACTATCGTTTTAGCAATTTTAATTAACGAATAATTTTCAAAGTTGATATGGTCACGTATCAGTTATGGGCGATCCATTGCAGTAAGCTAAAATGTCAAATTTTGACACCGCCCACCTGCCTCTGCTGTTAGCGTATTTTTTTATATACCACTACCCTCTGTGTAACGTACGTATGCGGTTTCGACCCACCCCTTAAAAAAACCACCAACAAAGTAAATATATTTATAGACAGTTGTCGTAACAGTAAAAAAAAAAATGTGTCACTCACGCGGTTTTAACGCTGTCTGTTTGGAGTAGCCCAGTGGTTCCCAATATCAGCGCCGCGTTGATCTGGAACAGGGTCATGCACAAGGGAATAGCGAAGAGGGCCCCCTGACCCGGGCGTTAACACCAGGAGGCACACAAATCGTCTGGATACAGTGGCGTAGCTAGAGTGTTTGGTGCCCTGGGACAGAATTCATTTTTATCTGAAGCCCAAAATGTAAAAAAAATAAAAATTCCACAAAGCCCATTATGGAGCTCCCCAACAGTCTTGGGCCTTGGGACATCTGTTAGTCGCGGCGGACCGACATCATCTTTATAAAAATAGGAATCTCTTAATGATGTATATACATATTCATAGCCTATCAGATTCTATCTAGTTATCATGGGCGCCCGCAGAAAACTTTCTAGGGGGGGGGGGCAAAAAAATCGATTAACTTTCCATGGGGGGGGGGCAAAATTTTTTTAGTAATGTTTTAATATAGTTTTAGTTTACTGTAGCGTATTTGTTTGGTGGACGAACGCACAGGACATCAGCTTAGTTACTTTCTTTTTATTTTCTCTTTACTTTAATAAATTTTTGGTCTTTTTTTGTTTAAAAAATTTTTATTCTCTTTACTTTAATAAATTTTTGGTCTATCTTTGTCTAAAAAATTTTTATCCAATGAATCCAGGGGGGGGGGGCACTCCCCCCTGCGGGCGCCCATACTATCTCATACTATCTGACTCTTAGCCTTAGGTATCAGACAGCTTTGAGATTTGCGTTAAATCCCAAGCATGGGGCAAAAAATTGTGGAATAAAGTTATGTTCGGCTTGAAATGAAAAGAAAGACACATAGTTTTTTTTTTAAAGTTCAAGCTTGTTCTGCAGTTTGCCACTTAATAAATTATAGTAGCCTATCATTCAGTTGTGAAGTATCATTTTCTGGCATTTTCAACAATGACAAAATATTTCCTATCTGATTAAAAATTATTTTGAATTGATTCATAATTCTGCAGAATAAAATGTTCATATGTTTTTTTTAAATTACAAGTTTTATCTTTAAAAGGACTTTTTTCACCGAATGCGCTCTAACAACTCCGCTAAATTATTTTAAACTGCGAAATGGAAAGGACTACTATGAAGCCTTGACCTATGACCCGTCATGACCTCTCATATAGGCCGATCGGGAAAAATTGCAGTCTCACTGTTACAGGCGGATCTTAACAAGTTTTTGTCTTAGTTTAAGAAGTGGACGAGTGATTCTTCTTCTAAAAAAAAAATAATGTCTGAAGCAAAGTAAGTGTTTTTGTTTGTCGAATACCGAAATTTTTTACACTATTTTTGATTGATTTGCGGAAAGTTAATCCGTCAAAGACGATGTCGATGTGTAAGAGGACTGTACTGAAAAGTAAATGTAGGATCACGGAAGCCGAGTAGCCCACTGCCCACTGTAACCCATTGAATGATATTATAGTCTTATAGTTATAGCTGGCAAACTTTTTGGTAAATTTTAAGGACGAATGCCACTATTTTATCGATTTCCCTAAATCGATCCCTATGCCTAACCTGAACCCAAAATCGATCCCTATGACTATGCCTAACCTGAACCCTAAATCCATCCCTCAACTTAACCTAAACCCTAATTCACTGCAACTATAGTAAACACTCAAAAGACACTGTGGCAATCCGTCCTTAATTTTAGCCAACTTTTTGTTATTAGCGTGCCAAAATAAGACTTTTTATTCATTCAGCATTTCAATAACTTTTAAGTCTACAATTTAAGAATCATTTTGTTGTAGTCGTAGTAAATTATATTTTTTGTGTGCTCTTCTGCGTGTGCCTAGATTGTGATCTGTGTATGCTTGCCAGGTGCCAAGTCTGGCACGCGTGCCTTTAGGTTGCCGCCTTAGGTTGCCGGCCACTGGCCTAGTCCATTTTCCCGGCCCTACGTGGTCATTCTTGATTTTTTTACTTGTCTGTATTATAATGTGAAGAATCTTAAACCAATAATTATAATACCAACACATTTTGTTCATTTACTATGAGGATGAGTGAGTAAACTATATACTATAAAAACATTCATTGGTAAAAGACTATACAGTATACTATAACAATTAAATCACAGAGTCAAAGCTATGGCGGCTATGTACCTGCTGCTACCACTGGTGCTTACCACTACCACCCCATTCCCTCCCACATTGCACTGGGTGGAGTCCTATTTTTTAACACTTAAAATTTATCATACCTCACCCAGTCACTGAAATTATGCCAAATTATGTCCCTTCTTTATGCTGCTTATTATGGTGGTGACCTGTCTCTGATTTTTGTTTTAAAAAGCATACATGCCAATCTGCAAGCAAGATCAAAAACTTTATAAAAAGTAAAAAAAAAAACTGTAAACACCATAAAAAACTGTACAAAAAAAAAAAGTCAAAAATCATCAGTGGCGCTGCAGCCCATTGTAGGACCCTCGACTGCTTCACCACATTCTTCCCATTGTGATGATGTAGAGAAGGAAGAAATTAGAAGAAAAAATGAAAGGGAAAAAAAAGTAGGCCTATAATTTATAACTTTTCCATTTAATTATTAATGTTTTTAATGCATGCATATTTTGCATGATGTGGCTGAGAAAAAATGGATTTAATAGAGGTAGACTTTCCCTTTATTTCCAAAAGTTTCATTTGTGCAACTATATTTTTAAATGTGCTACAATTTTGAAATAGCCTTAAGCAAGCACTTAAATTTATTTTTTGCAAATGCATGCCATGATCTGATTGATGAAGCATTGATAATTCCAAGGTATTCGGTCAGCCACTCATTCAATGTAAGAAACTTCCCCTAATATGTCTCATTTGAACTTTCTTTTTTTTTTAAAATTATTTTTACCCACTGGAAGTTTCCAGGTGGGGTAAAATAATAAATAAAGCAAGAATACAATATACAATTCTCACTGATGTCGACCTTAAACTTCAATAAAATTTAGGCTACTTATACAATACTAACGTTACAGTTTTTGCTAAGATTATTACACAAACGTATTTGTAATTATGGTTTACTGCTCAAAGTAGCTACTATTGTAAGGATTTCCATAATAGCTAACAGTATATTACATAGATAGACCTACTGGCCAAACCTCGCTCAGCTATTAGATTTCGATGGCCTACAGTCATGGACCAATAGGATTTAAGCTACCTTTTGACTTACGATGAATTTATTCTGTCGTGCAAAAATTAAAAATATATAGATCTATATTTAATATGAAAAATTTTGTTCCTAAATCTTAAAAAAATTTAATAAAACTTGTACTGCCTTGCACCTTTTAAAACACCTTTAAGCCATACGAAGTACAGCTAAACCATACAGGTTTGTCCTTTTAGCTTGCTTGTATGCATTTTTCCACATAATATCTTTCTTGTATGTCCTGTTAGCTTGCTTGCGTGCTAAGTGATTTTGAATTTAATGTCCTATTGACTTTTTTCCTATGTCATTCAACTTGATTTGTTTGTCCTGTTAACCTGTTTTGCGTGTAAATGTTTACTGGTATTGTACTTATTGTTAAATTTCAAAGTATTATTAATGTTCTTTGTATGTCCTGTTAACTTAAATTGTATGTCCTGTTACTCAACATAGCATGTCCTGTTCATGAGTGAACCAGGAAGTAAAACAAAGATTGGCAGAGCAGTGTTCTAAATTGGACATTGTCTAAAATAACTAGTCCATGTCATCCAAAAATAGCTGTAAACGCTATTTACATATTCTGAATGGGGCAGTTGAATTTCAGCCAATACTGAACGAAATATTTATCATCTCAACTTACAGTTGGTCTTTCATTTCAATTATAATTTGAACAGTTATGTTTTTGCAATAAATTAATCAATACCAAGAATTATGTATAATATTCCGTCCATTCATGCACAATGCAAAGGTCTGGAAGTTTGGGACTGTTGTTACATACCACTATGGTTTTAAAGGTTTAATCTGTTTAAGCTTTGGCTCATAAAATAAGCAAACGTAACAAAGGACAGAGAAAACCTGTTTGCAAAAAAAATTATACCGAAAGCTAGTGGTACTAACTATATTCAATTCAATTATACAAATACATTTCTATAAAAATACAAATTTGAATACAGAGACATGAAACTATATCAACTTACAGGACAGCAAGTGACAAATTTGAATACAGAGACATGAAACTATATCCACTTACAGGACAGCAAGTGAAAGGGTACACTCCTCAATAATAAAAAATATTATTTTACACATACAATTACCCTATTTTCTGATGTATAAGATGACTAGGCGTACAAGACGATTCCCTACTTTTCCGGTTAAAATATAAGGTTTGGGCTTTACTTGCCGTATAAGACTACCTCTCTTCCAACGCACACCAAATAAAATTTAAAAACATCAGATTTGATTTCAATATGGTAATTTTAGTTCAAATACTTAAGAAATGCATGTACTTAGCAGGAAAACTGTAACTTATAAAAATAAGGCTGTTTGTCATCAAACATGTAAACTTAAAATGGCGCAAGTGGATTAAACTTTTCCTAATTCACTCTAAAGCGGAAAGGAAGGATAAGACAACAAACCCATGGTACCTGCCATGCAGTTTGTTTTCTAAGCTGTCAACTAAACTGGAACTGATGATGATAGGAGGAAGATAACAAACAATAGTAAATAGTGGGACATTGAATGATGGTTCATTGAATGGTGGGACCTTTATGATGGACATTAAATGGTGGGACATTAAATTGTGGGCACTGTTAGTGGATGACATATTACTGATGATGTATTGAACTATGAGTTGATAATGTTGTATAACTGGTGATGTTTTGAACTGATAGAGTTAATAATGTTGTACAAGTGGTGACATATTGAACTGATAGTTGTTTTATAACTGTTGATGTATTGAATTATGAGTTGATAATGTTATATAACGGGTTATATAACTGTCCCTCTCTGAACCTATGTGAAGCTGTGGTCTATGGTAACTAAGGGCGGCTCAGCTTGAGAGCCCCTGTCCCTGAAGTTTCAGCAAACCATATACCAGCTTGTAAGAGGACCCCTAGCGTATAAGACGACCCCCGACTTTTGAAAAGATTTTCATGGGTTAAAAAGTCGTCTTATACGCCGGAAAATATGGTTTACAACGTCTCATATATTTTAGGAAATATAGAAACAATCTCTCTTTCTTTTGCTCTTTCTCTCTATCTCTGTTAAGAAACCTGGTGGCCTATATATTTAGGGGTTTAAATCAGAACTATCTAGTAAAGAAATTTTAGAAATTGCATCCCTTGAGGGCATTCTTTAGAAAAAATAGAGTGAATTCGAGCGCAAAAAACCTTTTCCCAACTGGATGGGTGGGTAAAGGATAACACAGCACTATTACGAGGTGATGTCATTATCAAGGCCATACTAGGAGAAACAAGTGGTGATGGCTAAAAATAGTTCTATAATATAATAGGCTATACTATAACAGGGGTAGTGTTGTGCTTTTACACATAAATATCTCTGAAATTTTCTTACAACTTATGAGACGCATAAATATCTCTACACAATTCTTAAATCTAACACGCCACATAACAATCTCCAGTCAGTACTAAAATCCTAGACTTTTGATTTCACTTTATGTATTAATTCACACTGATCCTGTTATAAACATTTTAATCTCTGATTATATTTAGGACCCCAATAAATATACTTAATTTTCAAACAAGCATTTTAGGCTTTACAATAAACTTTGAAGAAAATAATTTCGTCTTGTATTCAACAGATCATACATAAAGATTATTAATTTTTTTATGATCATTTATTTTTATTACAGTAGCAGAAAATCTTATGAAACAAATGATTTCTTAGTCTATATGTAAACGAATCTGTATTTTATGTCTCAAGAAATTAGGGTGGGAGGAGTTTGAATTCAGACTTTTTCAAAACATCAAATGAGTCCTCTTATTGCAGTTAAAAGAAAAAGGACAAAAAAAAAAAAAAATAGAATATATTGAAATGAAGATCACTTAAAAGATGTCCAAAATAAATTTAGAATTTGAAAAATGAGGAACGATTAAAAAGCCCATGTTACACGACATAAATGTTGAATCATGTGTTTGATTAACAGCTTTATAATTTTTATTCAGCTGTGCCTCACTTAAAAACCATCCTGTTCCATTTTGTAAGATTGAAGGAAACTTAAATTTTTACTTTATTCATAATGAATAAACTGTTTAAACTCCAGTTTCCAATTAGCTAAACAACCTAGTTGTAGGAATTAAACGTCGTTAGATGAGCAGTTTAAATTGGCACTCAAACTCTTTCTGGTTCAATTGCCTTCACTTTTTTTTTGTTTTTTGTATTGATTTATTTAAACCTGACGCTGTCATGAAATCTCATTAAATTGTATTTTTCAGGGGAGACATCGCTCTTATTGGGCTGGCTGTCATGGGACAAAATCTGATTCTGAACATGAATGATCATGGATTCACAGTAAGCTGTGCAACCACATTTTTCATAAATTTTTACAAAGGAGCTATCTATATTTCTCAGTTTAGGTTGAGGTAGATTACTCTAAATGTTTTATTCCTCACCCCACCCACCCCCTTTTTAAAAAAAAAGTGTGAATGAACCATAATGTGAGATTCATGTATTTAAAAAAACTTCCCATCTTTTCATTTAATGATTTAATGAAAATTGTCATCTTTTGTAACAGGTGGTAGCTTTCAACAGAACTGTATCCAAGGTAACTGAGTTCTTGAACAATGAAGCCAAAGGCACAAAAATCATCGGGGCCACCTCCATGGAGGACATGGTCAGTAAGCTCAAGAAACCAAGGCGTGTCATGCTGTTGGTCAAGGCTGGGTCAGCGGTGGACAATTTTATCGACACACTGGTTAGTTCAAACTCCTCGTCTAAAAATAGAAAATGTCTTGAACAGTGTGTTATCCAGTGTGGGGATGCAAAACAGGGGTTAAAAAAAAATTCTTTGCATTGCTAAAACATTTTTTTCCTGGTTTTATTATAATTCTGAATAAATTATATATTACTCTTTGTATCCCTTAGCATAAATTAAACCATCAGCAAATTGCAAGATTACACCAAGTTCCTCCTCCTAACACTGTATCAAAGCATAAATTAAACCATCAGCAAATTGCAAGATTACACCAAGTTCCTCCTCCTAACACTGTATCAAAGCATAAATTAAACCATCAGCAAATTGCAAGATTACACCAAGTTCCTCCTAACACTGTATCAATGAACAAGAGAGTGATTTTTTTTTACCTCCCAAAAACTGCTTTACACATCAGTTACATGTGTGTTTTCATTGAGGTCCCGTTTCAGCCCCGACTGTGGCATGATGTTACCATTGTCTGGTTCACAACAAAGAGAAAGTAGGTTTTAATTTTTTTAAAGAGGTGTACACAAACACACTCCCGGCGGTATGGATGAATTCCTTGAGTGGAATGGACTCATCAGCCAAGAAATCCAGCCAGTCTTGGGGAGGAGGAAAACCCTTTAACAAAATTAATAACCCCAACCACCAAAGTCAGAAGACAGCAGTCAACTAAAAGTCAGTTGTCTACCCTGACACCCAAAGAAGTAAAGACATGTCATTTGAGGAGGAAAATATGTGCCCATCACATCACCACTAGCTTTAAACTAATTCAAAACCAACTTCATGTTTGCAGGTGGGCTTATTAGAGAAAGGAGACATCATCATTGATGGAGGTAACTCCGAGTACAGAGATTCAATCGTAAGTGTTAGCAGGCCCGTCTGCGCCAAATGTTATGTTTTTTATATTAAACATTTTTTCAGAATCCAAATTAGCTGTTGAAATTCATTAAATTTAAATGATTAAAGTAGACAAAAATCAATACAGCTATTTTTGCTTAACAAAAAGGTAGATGAGTACTGATCAATTTTATTTCTTCAGAGGCGGTGTAAAGCTCTAAAAGAAAAGGGCATTCACTTTATTGGGAGTGGTGTGAGTGGTGGGGAGGAAGGCGCTCGTTACGGGCCCTCGCTCATGCCAGGCGGTTCAGAGGAGGCGTGGCCAGCGGTTAAAAATATCTTTCAATCAATATCAGCCAAGGCTGATAACGAACCATGTTGTGATTGGGTAAGAATAATATTTAATTATGCAGTTCATTGCTAGTTTAGGATCTTTTTTTTTTTTAAAGACTATAAAAATGGCATCGGTGAATGCAATAAATTCTTTATTTACATTTATAAATGAAAATCTTGTGGGTCGTTGCCTGTGATTGTATGAGATGTCTGTATATTGTGTAGTGTTAGAGGCTTTGAATTTATTATTTGTTCGCTCAGGTCGGCCCTGAAGGTGCCGGTCACTTTGTCAAGATGGTACACAATGGCATCGAGTACGGTGACATGCAGTTGATCTGTGAGGCGTACCATGTCATGAAAAGTGCCTTGGGGTTGAGTCACCCTCAGATGGCTGATGTGAGTAAACTTTACATAATTGCTACTTTTAAACTAATTTAATTTTAAGTTAGATAACTTCTTGCATAAGGTGGCATCCATGCAATCGGTTTTTATCTGTTTACCAGTTTTACGGAGAAGGAATATCTTATACGGATCCAGTTAAACAAAGTAAAAATGCCAGAAACGTTTTTTATTTTGTCACATCATTCAAATTATTGTAATCGAGAACTTCTAAAGTGCATCAACACAGATTGAAGGTTTACAATAGACTGAACTACGTGATTAGTATAAGACAAAATATATAACCTAACTTATAAAAGAGGATTGGCTGTACACTCTTAGACCATCCGAGATGAAATCTTGCAGTTACTTGATACGACCAGACAACGATTTTCAACTCACAGATTCAGTTGATTCCTGTGAAATGGACAGTTAAAGTATCTTATATGGGATTATTAAATATGAACCAAAACAGTACAGAGCCCTTTTCTGGTATTGGCTGTACATTCATAGTGCAACTTCTCACAGGAAACACACACAGCAACTATAAGCACAAAAATTAAACTTGGCCGCTTTACGTTTTAAATGGTACACCAGACAGGTTTCTAAAACTCAATTAGCAAATATAAGCGCAAAAATTAAATTTGGCTGCTTTACATTTTAAATGGTACACCAGACCTGTTTACGGTTACGATTTTGGCATACAGTGTATGATTTTGATGTGTATACATTATATATACTGTATGTTTTATTTTTACTATTAAGATGGTGTATTTAACGATTTTGTGATGATATTGTACGATTTTGAGGGTAAACAGGTCTGGTACACAGACAGATTTCTAAAACCCAAAAGCAAATATAAGCAAAAAAATTAAATTTGGCTGCTTTACATTTTAAATGTTACACAGATGGGCTTCTATTTATTTTGTCAAATAATGTTTTTTTTTTCAATCTTTTTCTTATTGCACTGAAGCTATGTCTCTTATTCTTATCAAAATCTTTATTATGGAAGTGATAAAATTGTATTACTTTATTTTTTTTTCTCTCATGTTGTTACTTCTATTAATGATGTTGTTGTCACTATTACTATTGCTTTGAGCTGTGTCAACCTTTGGCAGTTATTATTTATACAATCAGCTGGGTAAGATAACTCTGTTAAGAAAGCTCATATATACATTTTTATTGGTAATCATACCAAACTATGTCTACTCTTGAGTGCATGAGTATATGTTGAGATAATGTTTTGTGCAAACTGTAGTCCTACAGTCATGGAACTTTGACTTTCTTCCCACTCTTTTTTAGGTGTTAGAAGAATGGAACAAAAGTGAACTTGAGTCTTTCCTTATTGAAATCACACGTGATATTTTGAGGTACAATGACACAGATGGTCAGCCCCTGGTAGAAAAAATCAGAGATTCTGCCGGCCAGAAGGGCACTGGGAAGTGGACAGCCATTTCGTCCTTAGAATATGGAGTACCTGTCACGCTCATTGGTAAAGTAACGTTAGACTTGTTTTAGAATTTTATTTAATCACATGTGTAGGTGTAGATATATGGGCCATTTAAAGCAGGGTTCTCAAATGAGACAGAGAGCCCATGCAAGGGAATCATTGACATGGTCTTGATTTAAACAAAAGATTTATTAACACTTAAAATCTCAGAAATCGATTTTTGGTTTTCGTCATGTAAATCTGATATTTTCAGGTGAGGCTGTTTTTGCACGTTGTCTGTCTTCTTTAAAAGACGAGCGAGTCCTAGCAAGTAAAGAAATTTCTGGTCCCAAGGAAACAAAATACAAAGGGGATGTCAAAGCTTTTGTTGAGGACATTAGAAAAGTTGGTTTATGTATAATTTATGCATTACAGATATTTTATTTATTATATGCTATTGCGTTTAGTTCACTGTTCATTGGTTAACAAACTTATGACCCTAGGCAAACCTACCACATTACATGTGACACGCACAAACCAAAGCAAACACAGCTCATAATTGCATGACATAAATATTGGGGAAATTAACAATATTTTTTTTTATTGAAAAGACACACTTAAAAATAAATTGAAGTGGTTTGATTTTTAATGATTCTCTCCCCAGGCATTGTATGCATCAAAGATAGTGTCCTACGCCCAAGGATTCATGTTGATGAGAGAAACTGCAAAGGAGCTTGGTTGGAAGTTGAACTTTGGCTCCATAGCACTGATGTGGAGGGGAGGCTGCATAATTCGAAGGTGTGTATAACTTTTGATAGACATCCTCAACAGTCGTGGGTCAGTTGTATTCTTTTATAAGATATTCCTCTGTGTAAGGTAATCTTTTGACACATTTATAATATTTGTTGTGCACAATATTGTGTTGCAAATACTGGCAATGAAACTTAACTCAGGACCAGATTAAAATCAAATTTTTTTTTGAAAAATGTTGTTTGCCTCAATTATAATTTTTCAGTATCTTTCAAAAAGTGAAACTACACTTTAATCTGATTCATTAAAACCATTAGTTACCTTCTTTAACAAAAAAAATGACAGTACCAAACAGTGAAAAAATAGCTACTGATGTTACAATCATTTTTCCAGTGTTTTCCTGGGCAACATAAAACAAGCTTATGACAAAAATCCCAACCTCAGTAACCTTCTTTTGGATGACTTTTTCAAGAAGGAGATCCAGAAATGTCAGGTAAGGATTTCAAAATTTGGTGGATTACTGATTTACCCTTTCTGACATAAATGTAATAATTGTTTGGAACGGGGTAGCATAAATCTATGTGCCAGTGTTCCACTTCGTATTGTAGAGGGGAAAATGAAGAAATTTTACTCTGAAATTAAGTGGGAAAATATAGAAATTAACTTAATTTGTTTAGATTCTGAGTTATGAAAATGTCTGCCCAACTCCTGCAAATGAATAGGAATGCACATAGTTGGATATACAACTAAACTTAACAAAATACGACTATATACATCCGAAGATTTAATTTTTTGTATTTGAGTCATCATGATGAATGATACGCCTAAGTTGTCCTGGAAAGCAAATTCAAAAAGAACTCTCTATTGTCTTTTATTATTTGTGCATTTTGAAATAAAAGATTCTACTGAGCCTGTGCGGCTCAATTAATTTTTAAAAAACATAAAAATGGCTCACTTTTTAATTGACGCACTATTTTCATTTCATAAAATAACATTATCTTTGTGTTGGTAAAAATGATTCAATTCTCTGTGTTGTCAGGATTCATGGAGGCGTGTCGTTTCCACTGCTGTTCTCCTGGGTATCCCTACTCCTGCCTTCAGCACAGCCCTGGCTTTCTTTGATGGTTACAGAAGTGAAACATTGCCAGCCAACCTGATTCAGGTAGAGTTTCTTTATTCCTTTTTTTTAAATCAAGATTTTTTTGGCAAGAATATGTCATTGAAAATATTTGGCACAAAAATAAAAAATTAAGAAACTATAGATGGAGAATAATAAGTAAAGGAATTACTCGTCCAGTTTCATTTTTATCGCATTCTTTCACCTAAAATTCATTTTTTTACACTTAAATTATGTTATAATAGAGACAATCTATGAAAAGCTATTGAAGAGATCTTTTTTTAATTTTTGCATTGATTTTTGGACTCTCTCTGCTTCTCTTCTCTCTCCAAACCCTACTTTACTGCATCATCCTTGTTTTAAAGCTATGAAATAAGTGTCATGTTAATAGCTCTGGTGTTCAAAAAATGAAAGGAAAAAATAAATGAATATTATTCATTAACAACAGGCTCAGAGAGACTATTTTGGAGCTCACACTTATGAACGAAATGACGCACCTGGTCAGTACGTACATACTAACTGGACAGGTCGGGGAGGTAACGTGTCCTCATCAACATATCAAGCGTAGAATACTTTGACCCTCGATCAACACTATTTCTTTGCACCATTATTTAAACCAGATGACCAAATTATTGCCTTGTCTGAAACAGCTGGATCAAAATATATATTGTATGCACTGTAATAATTTTATCAGATCTTTGTATGTGGTACCGAGTTCTTTTGAAAGGCATGCGTTAGAAGTTATATATATTATTTCACTGTCCGGATATGTGTCAATGAATAAATGGATGGAATGAAGTACGAATCAGCCTTAAACTTCATTAAAGAAGTAAATTTAAGAAATTGACCGAAAAAAGACCATGAAATTCTATCATTTTGTTAATTTATTTAATGTTCAATGTATTATTATTTATTTTTTCTCCAGACAATTTTATTTTTCGATCAGAATATGATATTTTTTCTATTCAACTCTTAGCTCTATAGATTTAATATACCATAATTAATTTTTAAATAATTTTTATGAAATCTTTTTTTGTGTTATTTTTTGTAAAGAACAAAGTTTGAGTCTCATTTATAAAAAAAAAATTTCTATTAGCCTTCTATAAATCATAAATTTAAAAAGTGTGCAGTTTTTCATTTCATCTCTATTCCTGCTCTTAATCTCAGCCTTGCCATGACTACTGCACCAAATAAATTGAATTCTTTAAGAGTGTTTGCTGATCTACATAGGAGACAGCTGGTTACAAGTTTTGAAACACTCAAAAAAAAAAGTATGTTAATTTTTTTTAATAGAATCTCAAAGGGATTAAAAGGAAAGATATCTGTGGAGTTATTAACTCAAATTATTATCTTTATGCATTTATTCACCTTTGCATTATCACAGGCAGTAGGCTTTCCATACAAATTTCATTTTTTTTGTTTTTTTATAGAAATGTTTACAGCTTTTGTTACCAAGCATACTGTTTTTGTCCGTTTAAATTAATGAAGCATTCCTGATTACCCACCCTCGATTTGAGGCTCCAGTATTTGAAAATGAATACATTGTTGGGTTAACGTGGTGACAGTATCAGTAACATAGTTTTTTTCTCCCTACACATGAAAGGTCAATATGTTTTAAGTTTTAAATAAATTGTCTGGAAAAGGTGCACAAAACATCTTCAAGAGAGGAGAGCGTTGTTGATTGAAATACTTCAACAGTAGTCATTTTGTTAGACTCACCACAGACACTTTGAAATACTTCAACAGTAGTCATTTTGTTAGACTCACCACAGACACTTTGAAATACTTCAACATTAGTTATTTTGTTAGACTCACCACAGACACTTTTAAATACTTCAACAGTAGTCATTTTGTTAGACTCACCACAGACACTTTGCAGTTATGGCTAATACATAATATGGCTTCATGGTAAGAGTCGTAGATTGATTTGAGATAGATGTATATTAACACACTTTGCAGTTATGGCTATTACATATGGCTTCATGGTAAGAGTCGTAGATTGATTTGAGATAGATGTTTATTAACACACTTTGCAGATATGGCTATTACATATTTCTTCATGGTAGGAGTCGTAGATTGATTTGTGATAGATATATTGATTTAATACATCAAGTTGAATTTCAAAATTTAAATAAAATCATCTTGGTCGAGAGAAATAACCTGTATGAAACCTTTATCATTAAATAAATTTATTTTAAAAAATGAGCTCCATTTGTCTTTTATTTTTGAGCATCAATATATGGCATGGCCAATGTTCCCTATAAGGTTCGTTGGTTCGTGTGCAAAAATCATACAGTTGTGTGCAAAGTTTTACAGCATCAATATTTTTGTGTGCAAAATTTTACAGCCCACAAATACAAACACACACAAGGAAATTTGCTGCGCAGATACTCAAAACTGCAGCGCGGCATCTGTGAGATAGCTTAAAAGGGAACACTGGGCATGGCTCAATGTCTTCAGTAGTATTTGGGTCACAAGTCTATACTACTGAAAGAATTGTAGCATGCATAACTGATGGGAGACTGAGCTACAATAAATCTTTGCTATTGAACAGGCCTGAACAACACATGGTGTGCGGGCCACGTGCGGCCCGCCAGCACCCACTTTGCAGCCCGCTAAGTAACGAAATGGTTTTCATTAATATTATTGATTAATAGCTTTCCTCCTTGTCTTATTATCTTTTGGCCCGCACAAGTTTTTCATAAAATTCTACGGCCCGCCTTACATTTTGAGTTTTTTTTTGTTTTTTTTGTGTGGTTATTTTTTAATCCTATTCTTCTTTATTCCAGCAGATGACATGTGAACTATCCTCCTCCATTCGTCTGTCTTCTGCACTACGCACAGCATCGCCCAGTGTTAGTCCTGTTCACTCTATGATGTTATCCTCCCATCTTTTTCTTTGTCTTTCTCTTCTTCTCCCTCCTCTTGTGGTGCCCTGCAATATTTCTTGTGTCCTTGTTACGTGACCGTACCATTATAGTTTGCGTCTTTTCAGTCAATAGTAGGTCATCGTACTCCCCAATTGCCTGGCGAACCCTTTCTTTCACTCTATCATTGGAGATATGGTCCCTATAGCGGATGCCAAAAATGCTTCTGAAACATCTCATCTCCATCGCCTTTATTTTCATTTTAAGATTGGCTGTTAATGTCCAGGATTCGCAGGCATACAGGAAAATGGAGAGGACTGATGAGCGCATATTCCATATTTTCTTGAGCCTCTTTAGTGCTGTTGTAGTCTGCGCAAGCCTGGACATCAGTTCGGGGTTGGAGCCTTCTTCTGAGACTATTGCTCCCAGGTGTTTGAAGCAGCCTACAGTCTCTAGTCTTTCCTCCCCGACCTTAATTTCAGTGGTGATGCCTGTGGTGTTATTTGTCATCAGTTTTGTCTTTTCGGCACTGATTAGCATGCCGTAGGACGACGAGGTCTCATCAAGATGCTTTACCAGGTTGGCTAGCTCTTCTTCGTTCCCAGCCAGTCCGTCTATGCGTAGGTTGGTGATTGTTCTGCCACCAATGCCGACTGTCCCTTCATGCGCTTAGAGAGCATCTGACATAATTCTCTCTAGGAAGATGTTGAACAGGGTGGGGGAGAGCAGGCAGCCTTGTCGTACTCTAACCGTGGTCTTGAACCATTCTCCGAAGTTGTTGTTGAGGAAGACTGCACTGGTGGCCTTATCATAGAGGTTGCATATCATTCTGGTTAGGTTTGTGTTGATGTTGTAGTGCCTCATGATGGCCCATAAAGCAGCATGCCAAACCCTGTCAAATGCTTTCTTGAAGTCAACAAAGACGTGGTATAGATTTTGTTGGTGTTGAGCATATTTCTCACATAGTATTCGGAGGTTTAGAATCTGCTCAGTAGTGCCCCGTCCTTGTCTGAAGCCCACCTGTTCTTCAGCAATGATTCTGTCTGCATATGGTTTTAGTTGGTTCAATATGACCTTCAGCATGACCTTGGCTTATTAGGCTAATGGTGCGATAGTTTTGGCATAGCTGTAGGTTACCTTTTTTGGGGAGGGTGATGATGAGCGATTGGGTCCATGGTTTGGAGCATTCTCCTGTGAGCCATATTTTGTTACAAACATTGAATAGGGCCCTTATCATTGCTTCTCCTCCCTGTTTCACCAACTCGGCAGGGATCTTATCCACTCCCGCTGTCCAACAAAATATTAGATAGAATACTTTTGAAGTAGATATTTTGGTTAACAAAACCATTAAGTTCAATTTTAATGCACTTATATTGCCAGCAGGGGCCAAAAGGCATGTTCATTTTATTTTGTTTTTCGAATTTGCTTGTTAAAAATATTTCATGCAGCCTTTTTGAAAAATATGTAGAATTAAAAAGAAAAAAAATGCAAATGTATAAATAATAGAGCTTTATTGATTACATAGCTAGCAGCAAATCAAACAAAAATTTATTCCAGCCACAAGACACAACAATGCAACACAAGATGTTTTAGCAAAGATCTCTTGTATGTCCCAATCTTTTATCAAAGACTTATTGCAATATAGACTTCAACTCGACGTCTTTATTTTCTTCTTATAAAAGGAACAATTCTGTATTTCTAAGACATAGCCCACTGGTCCGTAATCATGAGGACCAGTGAAAAAAATTTCTTTTCATAGATATCTTTTCATAGATATCTTTTCATACATATAGTACACATTAATTTACTTCACATGATGAATGATGATGTAAAAATATATATTATATATAAAAACTAACTTTCTCAATCCTGCTCCAAAAAGTATTTTAGAAGGTGACTGGTGCTGTAAAAGCCCAAGAAGGTCAGATGCTGGACAGCATAATCAAGATTTATTTACATTTTTTTTCCCTTAGCTGAAAAGAGATTTTCATGTCAAAGCTTCCCTAATTTTTAAATCCCTAATACAGTAAAACTCATCAAGCCTTTTAAGCAACATTCACTAAGTGGAGTATTATATGGTATTATGGAAGACCAAAAACAGGGATATCGACAAATTAAGACAGCTTTGGTCCATCATTTTAGAATGTCTTTACTAAAAAATGCTTTTCTGGATTCATAGCTCTCTTCCAGCAATCTAAAATTCTAGCATGCCCAGGCTTCAGATAAATTGCTTTACTCCATGTAGTTTCATCAGTGAAATAGCGTAGTAAAGTCAAATTTTACACACCCCCATATGCATAGTACAATAAGCCTTCAAATACAGAACTCCAATGCCTTCCCATCCTTAAACTCCCAACAACCCCCCCAACAAACAAACCATCAACTAGATCAATTTATTTATAGACAATTCTGAAATTTTTCAATGACAATAATGTGTCACTGTAGGTTTGGCAAGCCCAGTGGTTCCCAAATGTGCACTCTGAGTGGCGCATAAACCTCAGGCAGGTCCATCAGAAGGGTGAATTATGTATAAAGTCCCAAGTACCGGTACTTCACAAAGACATGGGGCATAAAATTGTTGTGTTACCCAGCACTCTTTGCTTTATCATTTTCAGAACTTGCCCAGGGCGCTAATTTGGGTTGAAGCGATCTCCTCACAGTGGCACCGTGAAATATTAAATTAACTTACTTGAGTACACATACGCTTAGTGATACACATATATTATTACATTTTTAATGTATTTTGAAGAGTACCTAAATTTGGCAATGGAGGCCTACTTCTAGAGTGATAACTAGTAAGTTAACTTTTAAAAACAAGGCAACATTATGATATTACTTCCTATAAAATATTGTATAACATAAATATGCTATTTATCGACTGTCAAGAGTTTCAGGAAACTATTTGCAGAATTAAAATTCACATAAGGAAAATCTCCTAGCCCAATCTCCCCCTTCCATGCATATGTACTATATGGATGAAACCATAAAATCAACACAATTTTTTGAAGAGTAATTTTTAAAACCATTTATATCTATCTATGTGATAGGTGAGTTCTTCAAACATTAACATCATTTAAAAAACCTTTGGAATCGTTTTGATAAAAACCTTTGGAATCGTTTTGATCTCTTTTTTTTTTTGGATTAAATTTATTGCATACATCCTCCTATTACTTAATTAAAAGAAAAGTATTTAATAAACATATAATTGCACAGTAAACATTTTTCTTAAATCCTCGTAAGCTAAAATTCTCGTAAGCGATAGCTCAGAACAAAAATGTCAAAACTGACAATGCCGAACTTAATTAGCATCATTAAGTGTAGATCAAGGAGGGTTATTAATGGCTATTGATTTTTAAATTATTTTTTGAGTCAAGTCAGCCCTGTGACACAATGGTAACGTCTGCCTCTTGACCAAGGAGTAGAAGGTTCGAATTTATCCAGGGTTGTCCAGAGTGGTGCTAAAATAGCAATATGGACCGAACTTCACGAGAAGGCTAGTATTAGGAGGAGGCAACCCCCTGAATTCATCCCGTTAGTTAAAAGACAGTGGCCACCTCGCCACTGGCTTAAAAATCATCTGTTTACGCAATGAATGTCTAACCAGTGAAGTGAATAAGTAAAAGTTTTAAAAAACTAAGTTAAAATTTTTTTTTTATGATGGAAATCATGTCCTCAGGTTTGCATGACACTCACTTGCCTTACAGTGAGAATATGAGAAATAAACAATCTTTATTTCTACTTAATCTAGAGTTTAAAAAAAAAGATCAGTTCTAACTACAGCTGCTGGAATAAATCTGGAATGAAAATTTTTTTTTTAAATTCATTTTAAGATGGACATTTTAAGACAAAAACCAACCACCTCGCAAGTTTTTAAAGAAAATCTGTTGTACGGAGATGTAACCCTTGACCGTGCGAAGGTTTACATTTTCTGAGAAGCTTTAATAATGAGAAAAATAACTTTATGCAGATGAGTACAACTGTGATGTTTAATAGAAAAAGAAACTGTGTTTACCAGCAAGTAGCAGGGATGGAAACAAAGAGTTTCTCTGTAGGACTAACTGGAAGCACGATTGGCTCAGTGGGACCTAAGATAAACATACAATTTCTTCATCAAGACAAATTGCTGCTGTAACACACCGAACTAAGGGTCAGTACTTTGAATGAAATAACTGCATCTCTACATAGCCTATGTGATGGTGGGGGCATTCCCATTGCTAGGAGGGAAGATGTCATCCTCTTAAAAACAGATCGATGGCTTATGAATGAATGGGGGTCCCAAAAAAGTGGCAACGAAATGTGTTAAACGACTAATACATTTTAAGAACCACT